CCAGGGGAATACCACCATTTTGGTCGTTGTGGATCGGTTTTCCAATGCTTGTCGTCTCCTTCCAATGCCGGGTCTCCCTACTGCCCTACAAACCGCTGAGGCCCTATTTACCCATGTGTTCCGGCACTATGGGGTCCCCGAGGATATTGTGTCTGACCGAGGTCCCCAGTTCACCTCCAGAGTTTGGGGGGCGTTCATGGAACGATTGGGGGTCTCGGTAAGTCTTACCTCGGGGTACCACCCAGAGAGCAATGGGCAGGTGGAACGTGTCAACCAGGATGTGGGTAGGTTTTTGAGGTCCTATTGCCGGGACCGGCCGGAGGAGTGGTCTAGGTTCATCCCCTGGGCAGAGATGGCCCAGAACTCTCTCCGCCACTCCTCCACCAATTTAACACCTTTCCAGTGTGTTTTAGGTTATCAGCCGGTCCTGGCACCATGGCACGAGAGCCAGATCGAGGCCCCTGCGGTGGACGAGTGGATTCGGCGCTCGGAGGAGACGTGGGACGCTGCCCATGTCCATCTGCAGCGTGCCATCCGTCAACAAAAGGCGAGCGCCGATCGCCACCGCAGTGAGGGACCGGTGTACGCACCGAGAGATCGAGTCTGGCTCTCGACTCGAAACCTGCCCCTCCGCCTGCCCTGCCGGAAGCTGGGTCGGCGGTTTGTGGGGCCCTTCAAAGTCCTGAGAAGATTGAACGAGGTGTGTTACAGGTTACAACTGCCTATAGAGTACAAAAATATTAACCCCTCGTTCCATGTGTCTCTTCTCAGGCCGGTGGTAGCTGGCCCACTCCAAGAAGATGAGATAGGAGAGACCCCTCCGCCCCCTTTGGACATCGAGGGGGCCCCGGCGTACAGGGTCCGGACCATCTTGGACTTGAGGCGCCGGATGAGTGGTCTCCAGTATCTCGTGGAGTGGGAGGGGTACGGTCCGGAGGAACGGTGCTGGGTGCCCAGGAGGGACATCCTCGATCCATCCCTCCTGACTGAGTTCCACCGTGGGCATCCCACACGCCCGGGTCCGCGTCCTCCTGGCCGTCCCCGAGGCCGGGGTCGGCGCACGGCTGGAGCCGCGCGTCAAGGGGGGGTACTGTCATGGATTCTGCCGAGACTGCTCCTCCTCCTGGTTCGGGCAGGCTTCGGCGTTCGCCGTCCCCGGAGTACTAGCTGCCACCGCTCTATGTTTCGTAGTGTGATTGCTTTTGTCTGTCTTTTACACCTGTGTCCATTTGTGTGTTGATTACTTGTCTTATAAGTTCCTTGTTTTGCATTAGTCTGATTGTGTGTTGTTATTTTCTGCCTGTCGTGCAGAGCTGCATGTCTGCACTCTGTCTATGTTTGGGATTATTGTTTACGCGTGTTTGCGAAATTGCCTCGCCTCCGTCTGTTTTCGAGGTCGTGTTTTGTTTGTTGCTCTTTGGACTATTAAAGTCTTTTGGACGTATCCTCTGTGTCCTGCGCCTGACTCCTCCACCACATCCACATCGGAACTACTGACATGCACCTTGTTCTGGGGACAATAAAATTTGCAATTTTGTCACACAACACAATGCCACAGATGTCTCAAGTTTCGAGGGAGCGTGCTATTGGCATGCTGACTGCAGGAATATCCACCAGAGCTGTTGCCAGAGAATTGAATGTTAAAATCTCTACCAAAAGCAGCCTCCAACATCGTTTTAGAGAATTTGGCAGTACGTCCAACCGGTCTCACAACCACAGACCACGTGTATGGTGTCGTGTGGGCGAGTGGTTTGCTGATGTCAACATTGTGAACAGAGTACCCCATGGTGGCGGTGGGGTTGTGGTATGGGCAGGCATAAGCTACAGAGAGCGAACACAATTGCATTTTATCGATGGCAATTTGAATGCACAGAGATAACGTGATGAGATCCTGAGGCCCATTGTCGTGCCATTCATCCGCTGCCATCACCTCATGTTTCAGAATGATAATGCAGGCCCCATGCCGCAAGGATCTGTCCATGGCCTGCATACTAACCAGACATGTCACCCATTGAGCATGTTTGGAATGCTCTGGATCGACGTGTATGACAGTGTGTTGCAGTTCCCGGCTTCCTGCCAATATCCAGAAGTGGGACAACATTCCACAGGACACGATCAACAGCCCGATCAACTCTGAAGGAGATGTGTCACGCTGCATGAGGCAAATGGGGATCACACCAGATACTGACTAGTTATCTGATCCACACCCCTACCTTTTTCTTTTAAGGTATCTGTGACCAACAGATACATATTTGTATTCCCAGTCATGTGAAATCCATAGATTAGGACTTCATGAATTTATTTCAATTGACTGATTTCCTTATATGAACTGTAGCTCACTAAAATCTTTGAAATTGTTGCATTTGTATTTTTGTGCAGTATATATATATATATCTCTTTTGTGTTTAATGTGTATTTTATATTGTATTATACAGGGCGCATTTGGAAAAGAGACATAGGTCTCAATATGTCTTCCCTGTCAAAATGAAGGTTAAATAAAAAATAAAAAATATATACACACACACGGACGCAGACACATGGACAGGGACACACACACACACACACACAGGTAGGGACACACATACACATAAACAGACAGAGACACATACATGCACACACACAAAGCACAGGCCAAGTCAGAGAGTTACCGTAAACTATAGTGTATGAGTGAGTGTGCAAATTTATTAATCCTTCAGACAGACATAACTGGGCACAAGAACAGAACAGACAAATGGTAAATTAACATTAACAGAACACATTTCCCATTCTTCACAGTGCATTTGCATCAGAGTCATTTAGCAGGTGCGCTCATCCAGTGAGACTAATGTTTAATCACAGGCAAAATCAGCAGGCATCCAACCGTGGTCATCTGCTCGACTCAAGACTGCATTAGCCCAATGAGCTAAAACCTAGGCATTAGGCTAGCTCTGGTAGCTAACACGAGTTTTAACCAAAAGTTTGGACACTTCTACTCTTCAAGGGTTTGTCTTTATTAAAAATAAAAAATGTACATTTCAAAACTATAAAATAACACATATGGAATCAATTTAACAAAAAAAATTGTTAAACAAATCAAAAATATATTTTAGATTTTAGATTCTTCAAAGTAGCCGCCCTGTGTCTTGATGACAGCTTTGCACACTATTGGCATTCTCTCAACCAGATTCATGAGGTAGTCACCTGGAATGCATTTCAATTAACAGGTGTGCCTTTCCTTCTTAATGCATTTGAGCCAATCAGTTGTGTTGTGACAAGGTGGGGGTGGGGGGGGGGGGGGGGGTATACAGAAGATAGCCCTATTTGGTAACAGCTCAAATAATCAAAGAGAAACGACAGTCCAAAATGTCAAGAACTTTGAAAGTTTCTTCAAGTGTAGTTGGAAAAACCATCAAGCGCTATGATGAAACTGGCTCAGGAAAGGAAGACCCAGAGTTACCAGCCTCAGAAATTGCAGCCCAAATAAGTGCTTCACAGAGTTCAAGTCACAGACACATCTCAACATCAACTGTTGAATTGCTGCAAAGAAAACCACTACTGAAGGACACCAATAAGAAGAAGAGACTTGCTTGGACCAAGAAACACGAGCAATGGACATTAGACCAGTGGAAACCTGTCCTTTGGTCTGTAGTCCAAATTTGAGATTTTTGGTTCCAACCGCCGTGTCTTTGTGAGACGCAGTGTAGGTGAACGGATGATCTCAGCATGTGTAGTTCCTACGTGAAGCATGGAGGAGGAGGTGTGATGGTGCTTAGCTGGTGACACTGTCAGTGATTTATAAAAAATTCAAGGCACACTTAACCAGCATGGTAACCACAGCATTCTGCAGCGATACGTCATCCCATCTGGTTTGGGCTTAGTGGGACAATCATTTGTTTTTCAACAGGACAATGACACAACACACCTCCAGGCTGAGTAAGGGCTATTTGACCAAGAAGGAGAGTGATGGAGTGCTGCATCAGATGACCTGGCCTCCACAATCCCCCGACCTCAACCCAAATGGTTTGGGATGAGTTGGACCGCAGAGTGAAGGAAAAGCAGCCAACAAGTGCTCAGCATATGTGGGAACTCCTTCAAGACTGTTGGAAAAGCATTCCATGTGAAGCTGGTTGAGAGAATGCCAAGAGTGTGCAAAGCTGTCATCAAGGCAAAGGGTGGCTACTTTGAAGAATCTAAAATCTATTTTGATTTGTTTAACACTTTTTTGGTTACTACATGATTCCATATTTGTTATTTAATAGTTTTGATGTTGTGACGAGGTGTGAATTAAGGAGTCAGGCGCAGGAGGTAAAACACCGAAGTCCAGAGTTTATCCGTTTACATAAATAAAACGCACCCAGCGTCAAAACGAAACCATCACAAGGGAAATATTTCACCTTGGCAATAACAACAGGAAGAGTAGCTACTCGCTCTCACAATGAAACAATCACTCACAAAGACAAGGGGAACAGAGGGAACACTTCTACACATACTAATTAGGGGAATGAGCACCAGGTATGTGTGATTGACAAGACAAGACATGACAAGTGGAGTGATGAGAATGGGATCGGCAGTAGCTAGTAAGCCGGTGATGACAAACGCCGAAACCTGCCCGAACAAGGAGGGGAGGCAGCCTCGGCAGAAGTCGTGACAGATGTCTTCACTATTATTCTACAATGTAGAAAATAGTTAAAATAAAGAAAAATCATTGAATGAGTAGGTGTTCTAAACCTTTGACTGTTACTGTCTGCATTTCAACATATTACAGACTGCAGCAAGACGTCAATCATTTACACATTTTATGTTGAAATGTCTCTTTCCAAGTCAACAGTAAAGTTAATATCTGACCGAGGAACAACCCACGGAGAGAAACGCAGTATGACTCATGAAAGAACCACAGCCTGTGTAGTATAGCTGTCTCATTGACACACTTTTTAACCTCATTATGGGAGTCCCACACTGTTCCTGTGGTTCTGACGGTGCCTACAGCAGGACTGTCTGTACTCTACACTAGGTTAGCTTTATCACACAGCTGCTTTGTCACTGTTGGAGAAATAGTTGTTGTTAAATGAAAATGATGGAAGAGGTACAGTATGTACTGGGCGAACAACAGACCTGAGGGGATAAAACCCCCACAGTCCGACTCACCACAGTCCGACTCACCACAGTCCGACTCACCACAGTCCGACTCACCACAGTCCGAAGGAAAACAAACTGTATTTGCACATAGGTCTGGTGGTTAGAAAGGGCCTAAAGCAGACCTCTGCTTACATATTATAATATTCTATTGTAGGGTTACCTTAATGGTTTTGTGACTGTTGTTGCTGTTGTTGATGGAGACTCAAGACCGTGTTGGCCTTACGAGATAAAGCCAAGCAATTACGTAACCCTGGGAGCTAACACAAGTCATAACCACCTACAGTGAGGGAAAAAAGTATTAGATCCCCTGCTTATTTTGTACGTTTGCCCACTGACAAAGAAATTATCAGTCTATAATTTTAATGGTAGGTTTATTTGAACAGTGAGAGACAGAATAACAACAACAAAATCCAGAAGAACGCATGTCAAAAATGTTAGAAATTCATTTGCATTTTAATGAGGGAAATAAGTATTTGACCCCCTCTCAATCAGAAAGATGTCTGGCTCCCAGGAGTCTTTTATACAGGTAACGAGCTGAGATTAAGAGCACTCTTAAAGGGAGTGCTCCTAATCTCAGCTTGTTACCTGTATAAAAGACACCTGTCCACAGAAGCAATCAATCAATCAGATTCCAAACTCTCTACCATGGCCAAGAACAAAGAGCTCTCCAAGGATGTCAAGGACAAGATTGTAGACCTACACAAGGCTGGAATGGGCTACAAGACCATCGCCAAGCAGCTTGGTGAGAAGGTGACAACAGTTGGTGCGATTATTCGCAAATGGAAGAAACACAAAAGAACTGTCAATCTCCCTCAGCCTGGGGCTCCATGCAAGATCTTACCTCGTGGAATTGCAATGATCATGAGAACAGTGAGGAATCAGCCCAGAACTACACGGGAGGATCTTGTCAATGATCTCAAGGCAGCTGGGACCATAGTCACCAAGAAAACAATTGGTAACACACTACGCCGTGAAGGACTGAAATCCTGCAGCGTCCGCAAGGTCCCCCTGCTCAAGAAAGTACATATACAGGCCCGTCTGAAGTTTGCCAATCATCTGAATGATTCAGAGGAGAACTGGGTGAAAGTGTTGTGGTCAGATGAGACCAAAATCGAGCTCTTTGGCATCAACTCAACTCGCCGTGTTTGGAGGAGGAGGAATGCTGCCTATGACCCCAAGAACACCATCCCCACCGTCAAACATGGAGGTGGAAACATTATGCTTTGGGGGTGTTTTTCTGCTAAGGGGACTGGACAACTTCACCGCATCAAAGGGACGATGGACGGGGCCATGTACCGTCAAATCTTGGGTGAGAACCCCCTTCCCTCAGCCAGGGCATTGAAAATGGGTCATGGATGGGTATTCCAGCATGACAATGACCCAAAACACACGGCCAAGGCAACAAAGGAGTGGCTCAAGAAGAAGCACATTAAGATCCTGGAGTGGCCTAGCCAGTCTCCAGGCCGTAATCCCATAGAAAATCTGTGGAGGGAGCTGAAGGTTCGAGTTGCCAAATGTCAGGCTTGAAACCTTAATGACTTGGAGAAGATCTGCAAAGAGGAGTGGGATAAAATCCCTCCTGAGATGTGTGCAAACCTGGTGGCCAACTACAAGAACTGTCTGACCTCTGTGATTGCCAACAAGGGCTTTGCCACCAAGTACTAAGTCATGTTTTGCAGAGGGGTCAAATACTTATTTCCCTCATTAAAATGCAAATCAATTTATAACATTTTTGACATGCGTCTTTCTGGATTTTTTTGTTGTTATTCTGTCTCTCACTGTTCAAATAAACCTACCATTAAAATTATAGACTGATCATGTCTTTGTCAGTGGGCAAACGTACAAAATCAGCAGGGGATCAAATACTTTTTTCCCTCACTGTATGACAAATATACACTGCTCAAAAAAATTAAGGGAACACTTAAACAACACAATGTATCTCCAAGTCAATCACACTTCTGTGAAATCAAACTGTCCACTTAGGAAGCAACACTGATTGACAATACATTTCACATGCTGTTGTGCAAATGGAATAGACAACAGGTGGAAATTATAGGCAATTGGCACGACACCCCCAATAAAGGACTGGTTTTGCAGGTGGTGACCACAGACCACTTCTCAGTTCCTATGCTTCCTGGCTGATGCCAGAGCCCTGCAAAATGACCTCCAGCAGGCCACAAATGTGCATGTGTCTGCTCAAACGGTCAGAAACAGACTCCATGAGGGTGGTATGAGGGCCCGACGTCCACAGGTGGGGGTTGTGCTTACAGCCCAACACTGTGCAGGACGTTTGGCATTTGCCAGAGAACACCAAGATTGGCAAATTCGCCACTGGCGCCCTGTGCTCTTCACAGATGAAAGCAGGTTCACACTGAGCACGTGACAGACGTGACAGAGTCTGGAGACGCCGTGGAGAACGTTCTGCTGCCTGCAACATCCTCCAGCATGACCGGTTTGGCGGTGGGTCAGTCATGGTGTGGGGTGGCATTTCTTTGGGGGGCCGCACAGCCCTCCATGTGCTCGCCAGAGGTAGCCTGACTGCCATTAGGTACCGAGATGAGATCCTCAGACCCCTTGTGAGACCATATGCTGGTGCGGTTGGCCCTGGGTTCCTCCTAATGCAAGACAATTCTAGACCTCATGTGGCTGGAGTGTGTCAGCAGTTCCTGCAAGAGGAAGGCATTGATGCTATGGACTGGCCCGCCCGTTCCCCAGACCTGAATCCAATTGAGCACATCTGGGACATCATGTCTCGCTCCATCCACCAATGCCACGTTGCACCACAGACTGTCCAGGAGTTGGCGGATGCTTTAGTCCAGGTCTGGGAGGAGATCCCTCAGGAGACCATCCGCCACCTCATCAGGAGCATGCCCAGGCGTTGTAGGGAGGTCATACAGGCACGTGGAGGCCACACACACTACTGAGCCTCATTTTGACTTGTTTTAAGGACATTACATCAAAGTTGGATCAGCCTGTAGTGTGGTTTTCCACTTTAATTTTGAGGGTGACTCCAAATCCAGACCTCCATGGGTTGATAAATTTGATTTCCATTGATAATTTTTGTGTGATTTTGTTGTCAGCACATTCAACTATGTAAAGAAAAAGGTATTTAATAAGATTATTTCATTCATTCAGATCTAGGATGTGTTATTTTAGTGTTCCCTTTATTTTTTTGAGCAGTGTACATTCCAAGCTTTTCCTAATTGTTACCTTCATTGCTTTGTCGCTGTTGGCAAAGTTGTTGATGATGGAGAGGGACTCTTGGAAGCGGGAGCTGCCGGTCAGCGCCACGTCTGAGATCAGCTGGCTCACCGCGATGATGATCTGGACCAGGAAGTAGGAAAAGTGGAAAGGTGAACAGATGTGAAAACAACACCCCCATCAACACAAATACTTACAATGGAAATTGGAATGTGTGACTATCTTCACCATGGATCATGTAGTAGATATGAGTCCCATGATGCCTTGTGAAAGCATGGAGTAGGTTTCTGACACATAACCGATTGTTAGTGGAGGTTGGGAAACTAAGCAGGCGGTCTGTATTCGAACTTTAATTCACATTCTTTGGCCAGATTATCAGAGCAATGTCAGTGCTGTGATGTCAAATCTGCATGGACTTCAACAGTTTCCATCTGTTCCATAGCCTTTCCTACTAACTGTTCATTTTTGTATGAACATTAAATATATTTGTGTGAGTGGAGTTTGTGCATGATTACTAGTTGAAACTGCACAGCGAGGACTAATGAGCATAATGGTGGTGGATGGGTTGGGGATAGTGTTTAGTTGAAGTTCTTTAATTACATAACATTAACAGTGATGGACTGCTGATGATACAATAACAGAATCAGCATTGCATTGTGCAGTTGACTAAACAATCAATGACAGCTGGCAGTTTCTTGCCGTTCAGGGGGATGTTGTATCTGACCTGTAGGTGAGTGCGTAGGAAGGTCTTCCTCTTGGTGTACTCATAGTTGTTCCTCATCAGCAGGTAGAGCAGAGCGGAGGCCTCGGCCCGCAGCAGACCCATCTTAGACACACAGCACTTCAGAACCTCGTAGCACAGAGCCGCACACAGAGTCACGCGACCCTTGAACAACGCCGCTGGGAACTGACAACAACAAAATACCAACTTTACGAGGCAAGCAGTATTTTGGTAATAATATCAATATTCAGTATTTATATACAGTATACATTGTATGTAGTAATGAAGTACATTAAAACAAGTATGTAATAAGCCATACCAGAAATCCATATTTAATCCATAATCAACGAGACTGCAATTTGAGAACCTGGGCCTATATTCCATCTATTAACCACCTCATTACTTATGTTATCTCCTGCCTTTAAAGTTATGAGTCATTTTGTTCCACCTTGTTGATGAAAGCCCTGAGGGAGGCGAAGACGTGTTTGAGGGCAGCCTCTGATTGGCCGACTTTCAGAAAGTTCAGATAGATGTCAAAAACCTTCTTCATCAGGGGGTTGTGGCCGTCGCTGTCCAGCAGCTGGTTCTGAGGACAATCAATCAGTCAGTCAATGGATCCATGCAAAAAAATCTATATAGTTTTCAAATACAAACCAATCATTCACATAATCTAATGCTAACATCATTTGAATTTGAACTAGTCCATAACTATAATTGTTTTTGGTCAGTAAAGAGGTCTAGTACTGACCTTGAAGCACTGAGTGAAGAGTGAGAGGATGTCCAGTACACTGAGGCAGGCCTCGGTAGAGATATTACCCTCCAAAAGAGCCTGGTGGTGGACCTCTGTCTCCGACGGACCAGCCCCTGGGACCATACACCAGGGAGGAGAGAGAGTGAGTCAGAGGACATCTACGGGCTATACTACAGTGGAATATTGGGATGGCTCTGTATCAAAATGGGTTAGGGTTAACCCTAACCCTAAATAAGAGTGTAAGAGAAGGCAGTGGATAGTGAATATCATTATGCGACTAAATTATATTATGTAAACCTATAGCATTTGTTTTGGAGGGGTGATAGTCAAGCTATAGCAGTGAGTGAACCACAATCTGGGTTTACAAGAGACGTTGAATATGGCGATTCTCCTTTAAGCCCAGGAAGCAGCCATTCAACTTGCCATTTATCAGCTTTTCAAGCTTAATAATGTCAAAATACGTTCGGTACTCACCAATGAATGGAGTTTTCGCTGAGTAACTATCATCATTACTGCCGTTCCGCTCGGTATGTAGTTCCAAAAAAGGTTTAAATAAAAAGTTACATGCAACCGAAAAAATGCCTTGTCTTTTTTATGTGCACGCGCCAACAACAACAATCCAGCAGCAGGAAAGGTCATTGATTTGATCACCTACAACAGTGTATGAACGTCATATCAATATGTTGTTTCACCCGTTACACAAACTGCAATCATATTTAATGTACGTAGATTAAGTAGACAATATATTTTTTACAGTGATTGTATATTTCTAGATAGGCTTTATTTAGTGTATTTTAATTACATTACTAATATTGCAGGAGGTGCAGAAGAGGTGCGCATGCACACTTGCTAAAATAAACACCCTTACGATTCTTTCCAGACAAGGCATTTTTTCAGTTGCATGTAACTTTTGATTTAGACCTTTTATGGAAGTACATACCAGCTGGAACGGCAGTAATGACATAGTTGCTCAGCGAAACTCCATTCTTTGGTAAGTACCGAACGTATTTTGACATTATTAAGCTTGAAAAGCTGGTGAATGGCAAGCTTAAAGGAGAATCAACATATTCAATGGATCCTTTGTAAGCCCAGATTCTGGTTCAAGCAGTGAGTATAATACATGTGCAAACTTACAGTGTGAGCGAGGGAAGTGGGAAGAGGAAGGGATAGCATCATATTCATGTACCTATGTTGAGTGTGAGAGAAGTATCCATGGTGCTGAACTGCTGTAGCCTGCTCTGCATTAGGCCGGCTCTGCAGCGCATCACAGGCATTGTCTGGGACTTCCTGTCTGAAGAGAACAGCTTGGATACCCAGGCATCTTGACTCCTACACACACACGCATGCAGACACACCGCCGACACGCACGCACGCGCACACACACACACACAACGTTACTATAAGATGGGTGGAGAGAGACAATGACTATGATATATGGTATTGGCAGGGAACACCCAGGTGTCTTGACTAGGGCTGTGGCGGTATATAAAGAAAATGTAGTTTATTTCAGAAGAACAGAATAGCATACTCTGAGTTGTCCGTATGTTAGGTCCTGATCTGGCTATGCCATATGGCTGTGGGCTACACTAGTTCACTTAGCAGACAAGATTTGCTTAGAATTCCGTGGCATTATTTTATATTATTATATAGTATGAAGAATACAATTTAACAAAGCTGAATAACATAGAAAGGATATTTTCTCCAAACGATTTGAGGGAGTGCACACATGCGGCTATTCTGTGTTGAGCGGTTAACAAAGAAATAGGTACTCCTATATGACTAATTTAGAGTTACTAATGTAACTTTAGTTGTTCTACAAATGTTGGGTTATATGTTTTGATTTTCAATTCATGCATCATGCAACTCTAATGATGATTTGAAAAAAGTAGCATGAAAGACATGAGCTCTGCTTAGTTTTTTGCGCAGGCTGTACACACTTCATCAGTCTCTCATTCACAATTTGACAAGCACTTGATAATGCCTTGAATTTCCCGGCGGCATCCCCTTTGTGTGGCCTTAATGCCCCCTAAAAAAATCCATGCCTTTTGCAGCCAGTGGCCGTTGTGCCCTCTGGCTGAATATAATAATTATAATTCCCTTCTCCTTGAGCGCTGCGTGCTCCGAAGCACCTCTCACTCACATGGCTCTCCATCACGTGATTGGGTCTTGGAAGAACTGACCACATTTACTTTTCATCAGCCAACAAGATGAGTAGGCCTAACGAACAGCAAAAGCACTAGCCTATGTCAATTTACTATCCCCCATAGTACAAAAGTTCACCTATTCTATTGGTTCTGTGCGAGAAATAAATATTCCAAACATACTCTGGGACAGTTGTGGGATGCGATAGATCCCAAATTAATACAACCACTAGCATCAAAAACACTTTTTTACGCAATGAGGCTGACGCAACAGATCAGAACGTTTAGCTTAAAATGTTGATAAACTATTAGGCTATTTCTTCAAATTATAAGCGCAGCAATGCGCACACGGCAGTAGGCTACAAGTGCAAATGTTCCATTAGTGGGAAAACACCATTAACAAAAGTGACTGCAAATTCGATTATGCATGTAATGCTTTTATTATAAAGGTGCATTTTTATGGTGAAAATTATCTTCCCCAAACTTGAAACTCACGTGCTGCTTATGTATGCCAGTTAGGCTCTACACACCCCTTGTAAAGTTGATTAATGTGCATCATTTTAAGAAGTTATTTGGCCACTTTAGTTGTGATACAAACCTTATTAAAACATATAGGCCTATGGACTAGGCTACATGAGTTGTGTGACTATGATTTTAAAAAAGTCACACAAAAAAAGGCATTTCTTGCCTTACGCTGGGCATCACTCACAAGTGATAATATATCATTCACAAGTGATAGGCTAATATTGTCACCCATCAGACTATTCTTGATTTAATCTTGTCTTTACATATGCTAAATAATATATGTGTGAAATTTGTTTTGATTTAGAATGGACCATTATCATGCACCTGTTTCAAAACAGGGGCAGGGGAAAAATATATATGTAATCTATGCACTTAAATAACGAATGGAGGACGTTTTTCCCGTGGTTCATTTTCATGCCAGCCAGGTAGGCTATACTCCTACCTCTTTAAATATGAAAATGTATGCACTAACTCTAAGTCGCTCTGGATAAGAGCGTCTGCTAAATGACTAAAATGTCAAATGTAAATATTAGGAAAGTTGAGAAATAGATATAGTAGGCCTAGCCTATAGAAAGCTGATGGGATCCTCTTATTTTTATTAGAGGCCATCACTCTGTTTTCGCACGCAATTGCATAGCCTATAGAAATGTTTTGCAACATGAGCTCATGGGCTCTCATGATTTGTTTGATAAGATTTTCGATTAAATTTGCATTGATGTCAGAGTGATTGGAGGGACAATAGAGTGCTGAGTACCAGGCAGTTAGTGAGTTTGGTAGGCTACTAATGACCATCAGCAGCATCAGAGCTTGGAGAAGCCTAATTACCGTGACTAAATGGTCATGTGAAATTTGACTGCCTTCATGACTCGCGACCGCGAGTGTGGCGGTAATAAGGTCACTGTAACAGAAGTAGTCTTGACTCCCACACACAGATGTACAAACAGAGACACAACAATACAGTACACTGAAACTAGACAACTAGGGAGTTAATGACTCGTGTAATGGACTAGCAGGAAACCTAAACCTGATAAACTCGACACACAGAAACACACGTACACCTAAAGATAAGTGGAGGTGCATTAAGAATGACAATAACATAATTTATCAGCAAGTAACAAAAAAGAAAAACAACCTTTGACAACCAAGCCTAAAGATGGGTGGGGGACAATAATAATAATATAATTTATTGAACTAGCGAGGAACCTTAGGTTGGACATCCAAGCATGCATCTCATACAAATACACACAGAGACACACGTACCATGTACCTGTTTAGGACGAACTTAGTAGTCCTACCTTTTAGTGCTGTACAGAATCCAAACATCATCCTACCTGCCAATGTTTCTCTTTCCAACGTAACGGAACTGCACCAGGCACGTCCTGAAAGAGATTTAGGAGGGGCGGATTAACGACAGTTTAGCTCATAGATGTTATTTGCAATTATAAACTGGGTGGTTCGAGCCCTGAATGCTGATTGGCTGACAGCCATGGTATATCAGACCGTATACCACGGGTATGACAAAACATTTATTTTTACTGCTCTAATTACATTGGTAACCAGTTTATAATAGCAAAACCCACCTCTGTTGTTTGTGGTATTTGGCCAATATACCACGGCTAGGGGCTGTATCCAGGCACTCCGCGTTGCGTCGTGCTTACTCCGCGTTGCGTCGTGCTTAAGAACAGCCCTTAGCCGTGTTATATTGGCCATATACCACACCCCCTTGGGCCTTATTGCTTAAATAGTAGTCTTGTATTTAGTTGACTAAGTGGTGTGCAAATAGGACAACAACATCAATCACTTGATAAGTGACTGTTTTGGTTACAGTAGCACTTAGTATGACAGAGGAAAAGGTAAGGGAGTAAAACTGGTTCAGTGATGAGATGAGAACGAAAACCCTTAGGTATGTGTCAACAACCCAACAGAGCATTATGGATAGTCAGGTTGGAGTTCAAATGAACGCCAAATACTCACAAGACTGCAATTCCAAATCAAATCAAATTGTATTGGACCGTTACACATATTTAGCAGATGTTATTGCGGGTGTAGAAAAATACTTGTGTTCCATCAAATCCACCTAGGAGAATATAACCTATTATATTCTAGTCCAGCATCCACACAGATGCTCTCTGTACTCACTCCAGTAGACTAACTAGAACAGAACCTATTCTATTGCGATCTTGCATCCACCCAGATGCTGTGTGTACTCACTCCAGCAGACTGAGGAAGTTGATGATGTCCTGAGGGTTGACCTTGTTCCAGTAGGCCAGCAAGGTGTCTAGAGACAGAGACACAACAGGAAAGTGACTGACCCTGAGACAACTTCTGTAACAGGCCAACACCCAGATGATTACACAATGATCAGGCCTGCGTCCCAAATGACACCATATTCCCTTTGTAGTGTACTACTTTTGAACAGGCCCTGGCCGAAAGTAGCACACTAAGTAGCACACCGATGTCTGCTAAAACGGCACAGCAGTCAGAAATTCCACAGATGAGGCCAATGAAAATGTTTGAAAACATGGCATAATAATAGAAGAGGTATAATATAGGTAAAATATACACAACATAGGATATACAGTGCATTCATTCAGTATCTAGGTATGTATCATCAAACCATTTTAGGTAGAGATCTACAGTACACAGTAAAATAGAGAGAAGTGACTGTGTGGTGCTGACCATAGAGATACTGTAACGTATTGTACACAATACAGTATGTGTCAGGGTTGGGGTCAATTTAATTTAAATTCTAGTAAATTCAGGAAGTACACTGAAATTCCAATTCCAATTCTCTTCAATGCTTTTTAACGAGGAACATTTGGAATTGGAATTTGGTTAACTTTCTGAAATGACTGGAATTGAACTGGAATTGACCTTAACCCTGGTATATGTTCTACATGTACAGTACCAGTCAAAGGTTTGGATACACCTACTCATTCCAAGGTTTTTCTTTATTTTTTACAATTTTCTACATTGTAGAATAATAGTGAAGACATCAAAACTATGAAATAACACATATGGAATCATGTAGTAACAAAAAAGGTGTTTCAACAAATCAAAATTTATTTTATATTTGAGATTCTTCAAATAGCCACCCTTGGCCTTGATGACAGCTTTGCACACTCTTGACATTCTCTCAACCAGCTTCATGATGTAGTCACCTGGAATGCATTTCAATTAACAGGTGTGCCTTGTTAAAAGTTAATTTGTGGAATTTCTTTCCTTATGCGTTTGAGCCAATCAGTTGTGTTGTGACAAGGTAGGGGTGGTATATAGAAGATAGCCCTATTTGGAAAAAGTCCATGTCCAAATTATTGGCAAGAACAGCTCAAATAAGCAAAGAGAAACGACAGTCCATCATTATTTTAAGACATGAAGGTCATTTAATCCGGAAAATGTCAAGAACTTTGAAAGTTTCTTCAAGTGCAGTCGCTAAAACCATCAATCGCTATGATGAAACTGGCTCTCATGAGGACCGCCACAGGAAAGGAAGACCCAGAGTTACCACTGCTGCAGAGGATAAGTTCTTTAGAGTTACCAGCCTCAGAAATCGGCAATTAAATGCACCTCAGATTACACCTCACAGAGTTGAAGTAACAGACACATCTCAACATCAACTGTTCAGAGGAGACTGCGTGAATCAGGCCTTCATGGTCGAATTACTGCAAAGGAACTACTACTAAAGGACACCAATAAGAAGAAGAGACTTGCTTGGGCCAAGAAACACGAGCAATGAACATTAGACTGGTGGAAATCTGTCCTTTGGTCTGAAGAGTCCAAATTTGAGATTTTTGGTTCCAACTGCCGTGTCTTTGTGAGACGCAGAGTAGGTGAACGGATGATCTCTGCATGTGTGGTTCCCACCGTGAAGCATGGAGGAGGAGGTGTGATGGTGTGGGGGTGCTTTGCTGGTGACACGGTCAGTGATTTATTTAGAATTCAAGGCACACTTAACCAGCATGGCTACCACAGCATTCTGCAGTGATACGCCATCCCATCTGGTTTGCGCTTAGTGGGACTATAATTTGTTTTTCAACAGGACAATGAACCCAACAGACCTCCAGGCTGTGTAAGGGCTATTTGACCAAGAAGGAGAGTGATGGAATGCAGCATCAGATGACCTGGCCTCCACAATCACCCGACCTCAACCTAATTGAGATGGTTTGTGTTATGATGAGTTTCTAGGATATCAAGTGATTACGAATTAAGGATGTACTTAGACACGTTTGATGGGGAGTTCATATAATATATTTAATATGTACCATGGTTAGTTATAACAGAAGGACAGAGCTTTGCCTTTACCATTCCCCTCACTCCAGAACAAAGATCCACTCTCTCTATATGTACACTCTGTTACAAGTCTCTCCACGAACATCTGGTAATCCTCATGGGCATCCTCAAGTGCTCAGCATATGTGGGAACTCCTTCAAGACTGTTGGAAAAGCATTCCAGGTGAAGCTGGTTGAGAGAATGCCAAGAGTGTGCAAAGCAGTCATCAAGGCAAAGGTTGGCTACTTTGAAGAATCTTAAATATAAAATATATTTTGATTTGTTTAACACTTTTTTGGTTACTAAATGATTCCATATGTGATATTTCATCGTTGTGAAGTCTTCACTATTATTCTACAATGTAGATAATAGTAAAAATAAAGAAAAACCCTTGTATTAGTAGGTGTGTCCACATTTTTGACTGGTACTGTATGTAATAGTGTGTTGCTGACTGACCGTCTGAGACGGTCCTGACGATGTGAAGGAAACACAGAAGCAGTCCTTTGATCTCATAGTGGCCCAGTCTGCCTATGGGAGGGAGAGTAGTACTGCTGCTCATAGTGGAGCCCCGCCGGTGGAGCTGGAAGACAATACACCATAGAGGAAGAAAACATGGTGTCAAAAACAGTGGCAGGGAGGAACACCACAGAGTAAGAAAACATGGAAGTACCGTCCCTCCCCTCCGTTAAATAAAATCCTAACTATTAGCATTCAACAAAAAACGTAGATGTTATATTTTTGAATGAAAGATCTAAAATGACCAAACATCAATATCTGACGGGGAACAAAAACATGATATCAGGCTCTCTTTGTCTGTCTGTCTCACCTCAGAGCCCTATGGGCCCTTGTCAAAAGTAGTGCACTATATAGGGAATATGGTGCCATATTTTCTTTTTTATTTGTATTGGCCCATCCACCAATCTCACTCTGTCTCTTACCTCAGAGCTGTCTGGAGTGCTTGGGTCCATGAACAGAGATCCTCTGGAGTCCTCCCTCCTCACCAGGTGGCCGTTCTGAGCTACTGGGCCTGGAGAGAGCAGAGACACATATTCATATAGCTTCTCAGATTTATTTGGGGCGTGGGGAGGCGGTAGATAACAGTACTGTAGGTAGGCAAGAGGTTAGAGATGTGGACCAGTAAAGGATTAGGAAAGGTTACTGGTTCAAGTCCCAGGCCAGGCGATACAGAAGAATGACTACCATTACTGTTGTGGCCTTGAACAAGGCACTTAACCCCCAAAATATCTATCCAGAGGCGCTAAACCGCGGTTGACACCGTGCCGCTCAGTGTGTGTGTGGCACAGGTGGCATCTTAATTGGGGAGGACGGGATGGATGGAATGTTATCAAACACATGGAAACCATGTTTGATATCCTTTTGTTTACTTACTCCATTCCACACGTTCTGCCCTCACCAGCCTCCTGTGGTGTGTGGGTTTGGGAAAATGGCAGACGGAGAATTTCCGTTCTAACCAAATGGACAATAAAACACCTCTTTTACTGGCAGTTCCCAAACACCAAAGCAACATTTTGATGGGAAATTACAATTCTAATGGGTCTTATTTATCTTCATGAATAATTTTCTGCTCCTACTGTTGGCAGTGGTTAACACATTGAGGACAGACGTCACACTAACCGCGGTCTTTATCGATGGCCGTGCTGGTCCTGCGGCTGTCCATCAAGCCGGTTGATCTCAAGTCATCTCTGGAGCCCTGGAAGAGCACAGGACAATCATAGGGTTGGGGTCAATTCTATTTCAATTCAGTCAATTCAGGAAATAAACTGAAATTCCAATTCATAATTTTCATCCAAACTCCAAAAGGCCAATATATGACTGATAGGTCATGAGACCAGATAGAGTAAACCTGGACGTCCAGGGGTGGACGGTAGGGGGGGACTCACAGTGAAGCCCAGGCCAGGGCTGGAAGTGTGATGCTGGGCAGACAGCTGTTTGAGGTTCTGGTAGAGCAGCTCCAGCAGTGGCAGGTACAGTAGACAGATACGGGCCTGCTGATTCTGACATACAGAGGGGGGAGGGGGGAATAGGGTAACAAGTGAATGTGTTTTTCCAACAAACTTTATTGTTGTTCAATTTGCATACACAGTGTGTTGTAGGCACGCCAACTGGATCTGTGTGGTCTATGGAACAGTAACATACTGTACAACACTACTGTGTGAGACTGTCACGATCTGTGTCAACTAAAACAACTATTATCTACTGTATCTTTAGAGGAGGACTATTCGAAAGCCGGCCGTTCTATCAACACACTGCTCGGCTGCCAGCGACTATTTGGATCTACAATGTGGATTTGCATAATATATTTCTTCTTATCTTGGGTCAGGAGAGACAGTGAACACTCCTTACTCTAGTTAACTAGTCTAGTTATTCATTTCCAAAACAGCGACTCGGACAGTTTCCCCCGCGGCTGTGTGAACACTCTGTTCATTTACCTTTATAAACGTATATTCAAAACTACAGATGTAGGATCTTAATTTGTTCACCCGGTTGCAGGAGAACTTTGCTGCAATTCAGAAAATGTTTAACTTGTAGTGTATTTGAGGTTTAAAAAGGCTTCTGAATTTTGTCCCTCTCTCCCCCTCACCTTTCTGCTTTCCTATTAAATATCCCTTTAGAAACAGCCTATGGCCTTTCCTTGTGTTACAGGGTGATGTTTCTCTCTCTCTCTCTCTGTCTGTCTGTCTGTCTGTCACTCACTCACTCACGACTGCTGTTTCTCTCACGTTGTACTGGGTGTAGTGGTCTGTCTGTCTCCCTCCTCCTCACCTTGTACTGGTGTAGTGGTCTGTCTGTCTCCCCCCTCTTCACCTTGTACTGGGTGTAGTGGTCCTGCTGTCGCCCCCCTACGCCTCACCTTGTACTGGGTTAGTGGGTCTGTCCTGTCTCCCCCTCCCAACCTTGTACTGGGTGTAGTGGTCTGTCTGTCTCCCCCCTCCTCACCTTGTACTGGGTGTAGTGGTCTGTCTGTCTCCCCCCCTCCTCCTCCTCCTCCTCCTCACCTTGTACTGGGTGTAGTGGTCTGGTCCTGTCTCCCCCCCACTCCCTCCCTCACCTGTGTACTGGGTGTAGTGGTCCTGTCTTGTCCCCCCCTCCATCACCTTGTACTGGTGTAGTGGTTCTGTCTGTCTGTCTCCCCCCGCCTCCTCCTCCTTCCCCGCCTCACCTTTTATTGGGTGTAGTGGTCTGTCTGTCTCCCTCCTCCTCACCTTGTACTGGTGTAGTGGTCTGTCTGTCTCCCCCCTCCTCTTCACCTTGTACTGGGTGTAGTGGTCTGTCTGTCTCCCCCCTCCTCTTCACCTTGTACTGGGTGGAGTGGTCTGTCTGTCTCCCCCCTCCTCCTCACCTTGTACTGGGTGAAGTGGTCTGTCTGTCTCCCCCCTCCTCCTCACCTTGTACTGGGTGTAACGGTCATCCATGGCATGTTTGATGAGCAGGTTCTTCAGGACGGCCACGGCCAGCTGTCTGACCTCTGGTGACCCCTGCAGGGCCTCGGCCACCTCCCTCAGCAGCAAACCAACCAGGAAGTGGTTCTTACAGTAATCCTCCGTCAGCGCAGACTCCAGGCTCTGATCTGAGGTCATAGGTCAACATGGTTAGGTCATGTCCCAAATCACACCCTAACCTATTCCCTGACCAAAAGCAGTTCACTATATAGGGAATAGGGTGCTCCGGTGAAAATAAGTGCACTACATAGGGAATACACACAGGTACTAGCAGCAGGTGCAGTCTACCCTGCTGTAATATAAAGGGGTGCATCTTTTACTTCAATCAACCAAACTATTTAACATGGGACTGAATGGTAGCATTCAAGTGACATGGTATATATCCTGTTGTTTCACTCATGGAACGACGTCTCCGACAAATTCTAGGGAGGAACGCGACATCATCACATGTTGAACACACTGACTCAGCAACATTATTCTCCAATGCAAAACATCACCACCTCTAATTAGGGAAATCAGAGAAAAACCTGTGAAAGCATGAACCCTTTATAAATAAACCACGAGCCAGAACAGCTTCAAAGCACCTTGGCATAGATTCTACAAGTGTCTGGAACTCTATTGGAGGGATGCGACACCATTCTTCCACGAGAAATTCCATAATTTGGTGCTTTGTTGACGGTGGTGGAAAACGCTGTCTCAGGCGCTGCTCCAGAATCTCCCATAAGTGTTCAATTGGGTTGAGATCTGGTGACTGAGATGGCCATGGCATATGGTTTACATCATTTACATACTCATCAAACCATTCAGTGAACACTCGTGCCCTGTGGATGGGGGCATTGTCATCCTATGGGGGCATAGCCATGGTGGCCAAATTAATGGCCTGAATAATGGCCTGCCCAGCATTTCTATACATGACCCTAAGCGTGATGGGATGTTAATTGCTTAATTAGCTCAGGAACCACACCTGTGTGGAAGCACCTGCTTTCAATATACTTTGTATCCCTCATTTACTCAAGTGTTTCCATTATTTTGGTAGTTACCTGTACATATCAAATGTAAAAATGAATATAAAATGTTTAGAGATGTAGGCTTTATGTGTAGGTTTAGGCCAAAGACATCTCTCCACTACAGTAAAATATAACGTGTGAGTGTTATTGCTTCAATATTGTGTGTTTTAAGAAAGTTGTTTAAAATATCCCACACAAGTTGTTTTCTGAGTTCCCCTCAGTTTCTCTCTGAACTGTTAATGGTGCTTTACTACAGTCAGACATGACTAATACAATTAGAGAGTTGGAATGACAGACAGAGAGAGAGAGAGAGAGAGAGAGAGAGAGAGAGAGAGAGAGAGAGAGAAAGAGAGAGAGCGAGCGAGCGAGAGAAAGAGAGAAAGAGAGAGAGAGAGAAAGAGAGAGAGCGAGTGAGCGAGAGAAAGAGAGAAAGAGAGAGATTGAGAGGATTGAGAGATTGAGAGAAAGAAAGAAAGGAAGAAAGAAAGAAAGAGAGAAGAAAGAGGAAAGAGAGAGTGAAAGAGAGTGTGAGAGAGAGAGAGAATGCAGCAGTCCCACAGGCAGAGGAGCATGAAAGACTCTCCCCTCGTCTTTCAAGTCTGAAATCATCAATCAAAACATTCAAGAGAAGAAAAGTCATTTGATTTCCACGATCCAAGCTAGCAAGAAGTGTGACAAACTCCAGGCCACTACAAAGCATTGGCCGAAGCAGGTGGTATGGAGGATGTTAGCAATCATAAAGAGTGAATGAATGAGTGTCCTGGATAGACGGGGCTAGCAGAAATGGGTTAATGGCGTGCGGTGTCAGTTGGCGTTCAAACGGCAAACGTGTCGGTTGATGTTGTGGAGGCATCACCTACCTACTGCGCCAAAAATCTCCGTCGCGTACGAAATAAAATCTAACGACCACAAGCAAAACAAAACAAAACAAGAGGGAGGAGAAATATGAGGAAATTAAATGAACATTCCATGCATTAGTATTATCAGAACACACTATCGCTGTGGTGGGGTGAAAATCATTCATAGAATTCCTTTTACAACCCTCTTTTGCTGGACTCCACATGGTCTGCTCTGTAATAGACTTGTGTGTGAACTGGTGCGTGGGCCAAACCAATGAGGCAGATTAGTGGGGGGGGGTTGTGGTTTGTAGGTGAGGGTGATGTAACAGATCATACATGCACAGCTTTGGTCCTCATAGTGTATGCTGGTTTTTGCCATCAGTTACAATAATTGATACATTAAAGGGAATTTTCACCACTTTTCAAACTCATATTGAGGATGAGTATGAGGTTGAAAAGTGGTGAAATTTCCCTTTAAGTGACCAGGACAAAGGAAAACCAGCAGCACTGCAGAACAGGAAGGCCTAAGTTGTGCATCCCTGTAATATGTGTGTAGCACTGGCAGGGAGCAAATGCAGGTTGACCAGACAGAGGAGCATGGCGTGAGAGCAGCTTACCCTGAACTCTCTGCAGCTTGGTGCGTCCAAAAGCCATGGGCAGGTTAAGCGGGATGTAGTGCTCGTGGTTACACACCGTCATGAGGAAGTCAAACTTCATCTCCGTCAAGACCTGTCAGTCAACAAACAACTCCAGTATTACAAAACATCTCTAAGATTACACTCATACTAAAACTAAAGATGAACAAACAAGATATTATTTTCATCCTAAAAATAAAAAAATATTAGAGGATTTCCATAATTTTTTATGGAAAAATATTATGTTGATTTTAATCAGTTAGTCAAATATGCTAAAGCATATTTGACTACCAGTGCCACACACAACACATCTACTGTCAATAGCCTGTATACAGGGCTGTGTTGTTGTTCCCCTGTTGAATTAAGAATACATTATCAGCAATAGTAGAGAAGAGTGGTTGTTGTGTCCAGTACCTTGGGGTCTTTAAGTGTGAAGCCACACATGTAGTCGTTGATCAGGCTGAAGCCAAAGCCTCTGTTCATGAAGGTGAGACAGCGCTGTGGAAGGGGAACACAGATTAGGGCATTTAGAAGACCAGGACTAACCAACTAAGCACACCAAGAACTTCTTTCATATACAGTGCCTGACTTACAGTACACTGAATTCACCACTCATTATCGTTGCTATCAGAAGGGAGTAGTGTGTTCAACCTGGACCTTCATATCAACCACAGGAGATTGCTGAGGGGAGGACAGCTCATAATAATGGCTGGAACAGAGCGAACAAAATGGCATCGAACACATGGAAACAACGTTTTTGATGTATTTGATACCATTCCACTGATTCTGCTCCAGCCATTACCAGGAGCACGTCCTCCTCAATTAAGGTGCCACCAACCTCCTGTGATATCAACAGTAGATTCCTTTTTTGTCTTTGGTATTATTTCTGTCCTGTGTGGTTCAGGTAATATATTGGGGCCTGTAGTGTATGGAGGCCTTACCTTGATGAAGCCAGCCAGGCTGAGGTTGACACAGCGGGCCTCCTCTGGGATCTCAACGTGGCGGATGGTGATGTGAGGCATGATGGACAGTAGCAGGGACTGGAGGGCCTGGTGGAAACTGTCTGGAAACCTCTGGGCACGGGGCATCTGGTAAAACATATTCAGTTCAATAAGACCAAAGTAAACTAAATGTTGCATCTTTTAGACAAATAAATAATGAATTAATCCAACTTGGGTCTGTGTGTGTAACGTGGATTTTCACACAAACCTATTGAGCTCAATGGTTGCTCTTTGGATCTATAGTGTGTGGATTTGAGGATCTCAAGTTAAGATTCGGGCAAAATTGCAGATGTAATATATATATATATATAGTTGAAGTCAGAGGTTTACATACACTTAGGTTGGAGTCATTAAAACTCGTTTTTCAACCACTCCACAAATGTCTTGTTAACAAACTATGGTTTTGGCAAGTCGGTTAGGACATCTACTTTGTGCATGACACAAGTAATTTTTCCAACAATTGTTTACAGACAGATTATTTCACTTATAATTCACTGTATCACAAGGCTAATTGACATCATTTGAGTCAATTGGAGGTGTACCTGTGTATGTATTTCAAGGCCTACCTTCAAACTCAGTGCCTCTTTGCTTGACATCATGGGAAAATCAAAAGAAATCAGCCAAGACCTCAGAATAAAAATGGTAGACCTCCACAAGTCTGGTTCATCCTTGGGAGCAATTTCCAAACGCCTGAAGGTACCACGTTCATCTGTACAAACAATAGTCTTCAAGTATAAACACCATGGGACCACGCAGCCATCATACCACTCAGGAAGGAGATGCGTTCTGTCTACTAGAGATGAACATACTTTGGTGCGAAAAGTGCAAATCAATCTCAGAACAACAGCAAAGGACCTTGTGAAGATGCTGGAGGAAACAGGTACAAAAGTATCTATATCCACAGTAGAACGAGTCCTATATCGACATAACCTGAAAGGCCACTCAGCAAGGAAGAAGCCACTGCTCCAAAGAAGAGAAATGAGAAATGTCCTCTGGTCTGATGAAGAAGTTAACTTCTGCTGCAGTGTTCGCGGTAAAATATAACACGTTGCAGCAGTGCTTCGGTCCTAAATGGCACCCTATTTTCTATGGGCCCTGCTCAAAAGTAGTGCACTACATAAGGAATAGGGTGCCATTTGGTTCTAGGTAGAATAGGGTGCCCTTTTTGGTTCTAGGTAGAACCCTTTTGGGTTGCCTGTAGAACCCTCTGTGGAAAGGGTTCTACATGGAACCCAAAAGGTTTCTGCCTGGATCGCAAAAGGGTTCCACCTGGAACCAAAAAGGCTTCTTCTACGGGGACAGCCGAAGAACCCTTTTAGGTTCTAGACAGCACAATTTCTTTCTAAGATTTTAGTGTGGAGCTGGCGAGCAGCGTGTAGAACTGTAGAACTAAATGGCCTCAGAAACGGGCCCATACAGTGAGGGAAAAAAGTATTTGATCCCCTGCTGATTTTGTACATTTGCCATGCTCTCCACCAGTCTTTCACATTAATGTTGGGTGACTTTATGCCACTCCTGGCGCAAAAATTCAAGCAGCTCGGCTTTGTTTGATGGCTTGTGACCATCCATCTTCCTCTTGATCACATTCCAGAAGTTTTCAATGGGGTTCAGGTCTGGAGATTGGGCTGGAGATTGGGCTGGCCATGACAGGGTCTTGATCTGGTGGTCCTCCATCCACACCTTGATTGACCTGGCTGTGTGGCATGGCGCATTGTCCTGCTGGAAAAACCAATCCTCAGAGTTGGGGAACAATGTCAGAGCAAAAGGAAGCAAGTTTTCTTCCAGGACAACCTTGTACGTGGCTTGATTCATGCGTCCTTCACAAAGACAAATCTGCCCGATTCCAGCCTTGCTGAAGCACCCCCAGATCATCACAGATCCTCCACCAAATTTCACAGTGGGTGCGAGACACTGTGGCTTGTAGGCCTCTCCAGGTCTCCGTCTAACCATTAGACGACCAGGTGTTGGGCAAAGCTGAAGATTGGACTCATCAGAGAAGATTACCTTACTCCAGTCCTCTACGGTCCAATATTTATGGTATTTTGCAAACCTCAGCCTGGCTCTTCTTTGCTTCTCATTGATGAAGGGCTTTTTTCTAGCTTTGCACGACTTCAGCCCTGCCCCTAGGAGCCTGTTTCGAACCGTCCTCTCCATGCACTTCAACACAGCTGCCGTTTGCCATTCTTTTTGTAGGTCACTTGATGTCATCCTACGGTTGTTGAGTGACATTCGAATGAGTTGGTGGACATCCCGGTCAGTAGAGAGTCATTTTCACCCTCTGCCGGTCTGTAGCTTTGTTGTCCGCAATGTCTGCTGCTTGACCTTGTTCTTATGAACCGCCCTCTGCCAGTAAAGCCAGAATTGAACCCTTCTTTTTCTCACTCAAAACTATGGTCAATAGTTATTTTTGGTTTAATATTACTTTTGAGGTACTATTAGCACTGTTTTTGCCATCCAGCTGGCCCTATTGCAATAGGATAGTGATGACCACAGCAGTGGTTTTTATACTTTTCCTTGTTAAATAACATTTGGTTCAAGTGATCACCTAATCAGTACCTAATTCAGTAGAATGAGGTGTGCCTGTGTTGTAATTCAACAGACACTGGAATGGAATGGCTGTCATACATGTAGAGATGCTGATTTAAGAAAGATTTGCAGTGGTCTCTTAATTCTTTCCAGAGCTGTATCTTATATTACCTAATAGAATGGGAGGAAGGAAGAAGTGTACTCTTCTACTCATTGAGAAACAGGTTTCTTTCTCAATAGAAGGCTGGCTAAGAGGTTAAATATGAAATGTGCACAGCTTGTAACATCCTCAACTTTTCTATTTCAGCAACCTTGGTTTATCTTAGAGGTGCTGCAGTAGAGGCCTCAGTCTGGATTTGACTGGGACTGTTTATAAACTTTTGGCAAGATAAGAGTATGAGTAGGAGTATCCCTATCATCAACTGAACTTTAACTAAAAGTTAAAAACTTTCCGGAAAAAAAGGAGAACAGAAATACTTGTATGGGAGTGGAAGGAAGCTGGAGGGTTATTTCTGGGAGGGTATGTGCGTGTGTGGTTGCGGTGCACAAGAGACACATGCATGTAGAATGAGGAAGAATTCATTGCCACATTTTCCCGGTGATGAAAGAGAGAATGAACTGACACACCCTGGCCCTGGACAGAGAAATATTTGCATGTACAAGACGGATAACTCTCTAATCTTCATAACCACACCTGAGGGCTTTCCAGTGATAGCTGGTGTGTGCGCGTGTGTTTGTGTACACAATCTTTAATGTGGGACAGAAGATAAACCCTTAATCAGAGTAGAACATTTGCCAACCTTGATCCTGTTGCCCTCCTGCAGGTACTGGGCCATGGACTTGGCCATCGTCTCGAAGAAGAACCAGGAATACTAGAAAAGAGGACGAGGGACAGAAGACGTTGGACTCCTCAATAGTGAAGCATTTAGACCACATCCCAATCGGCACCATATTCCCTATATAGTGCACTACTTTTGACCAGAGCGCTGGTCAAAAGTAGTGCACTATAAATGGAATACGGTACCATTTGGGACGCACACTTACTAAGAGAGATCGTATCAACAGTCTGACAAAAGTCAAAACACCAATGGGCTCTATAATATGGGCCTGGGTCCTGGGTATAGTAATAACAGATAGTAAACTGCACACAAATAATGCGTTTTGAAAAGGCTTGTGAAAACATGCTTAGTGGTGACATAATAATGTTGGGAATCGACCTTCTCTTTCAAGGAACTAGTGGCTGGTGCTACCTGCTGGTCAGTATGGGAATCGCAATTTTCTTATTGAGCGTGACAAGTAAAAGCGCACGCACGCTGGCTCGCACACACACACACGCACATATGTTTTACTATCCTTATGGGGAACTAACGTTTATTTCCATTCAAAATCCTATTTGTCCTAACCACTAACCTCAATCCTAAACCTAACCCTAACCCCTAAGCTTATAATAGCCTTTGTCCTTGTGGGGACCTGGGAAATGTCCCCACAATGGAGAATTTGGGGGGTTTTCCGGTACCCACACACGCACACACAAACACACGCATATGTTTTACTATCCTTATGGGGAACTAACATTTATTTCCATTCAAAATCCTATTTGCCCTAACCCCTAACCTTAATCCTAACCCTAACAATAACTCCTAACCCTAACCCTAATTGTAACCCTAACCCTAAACCTAACCCCTAAACTTTTAATAGCCTTTGTCCTTGTGGGGATTTTCGGTACACACACACACACACAAACACACACACACACACACACCTTGAGTAGCTTGTTGCTGGTGTTGAAGTCTGCTGTCTGTTTGAGGATGGCTGTAACGGCGGTGGCCAGAACCTCATGAGTGGTCCCAGAGTTCCCAGACACTGGGCTGTTGTTCACAAACACATACTGGGGACACACAACAAAGATAGGCATTAATACACAACTTTTACATTATCACTTTTCATGGTATTAAAAATGTATCCAAGTTCAACATTATCCCCAAAAAGAAATGCATGAACTTTGAGTTACTTTCAACTGAAAATGCATCACCCTTTATAATCATAGCTAAGGCAAGGACCAGGCCTTGATTCTAGGCTTAATTCTGGTCACTAGTGACTGACTCTCTTGTGTTATACCTTGAGAAAAGAGCGCAGGTAGTTTTCCAGTCCCTCCTCGTGGCACCGGGAAACAATGTGTATAATCACACTGAAGGAATAGAACATGATCATTACGTAACTCAGCATATATCCATTTAATTAACGTTTCCAAAAAAAAAATAACATTTATAACTCACTTTCACAAACCATGACTATGTCTATGTCACTATGTCATTGGGTCAGACCATGATGACATCACAGGGTCAGAGGTCAGACTCACCGGGTGGAGTTGACAGCGATTTCGGTGGCTTCTTTGGTTGCTGTGTTGAGGACCTCAAACAGCTGCATCAGCACAGTGGGTAGGAACTTAATGATGACCTTAGTCTCCATGGCATGCAAGCACTGAGAGAGCGAGAGGGAGGGAGGGTGGGAGGGAGGGAGGGAGAAAGATGGAGAAAGAGAGAAATGGAGAGAGAAAGGAGGGAGAGGGGGAGAAAAAGTCAAAGAGAGACAGCAATACAAAGTGACAGTGTAAAGAGACTCCACAGCAGGAGTGTCTCTCTTACCTTTAGATACTTGATGAGTTCTGCTGGGTTGCCCTCTGAAGAGGACCTCATCAGCTGGCAGTGCTGGAAGAACTTGTGGAGGTGCAGATCCTACACAGGGAAATACAGAACACAGATGTCTGATGGCGTATTTGTTACAACAGCTCGGCCAAGTTGGTTTAATGTTGGCAGGTAGAAGACATACCTGGGGGTATATTGTTGACGCTACATTGGTCTTCACTTTGAACAGTGGCTTGCTGTTTTCTACCCATTTTATATCCGGTGCTGACTGTAAGGGTGACAACACATAAATACAACAGTATGATTGTAGTCGTCTGCATAACTCTTTCTCCAAATGTTTTCATATTTTAATCAGTGTCATCTCAGTCATTTGTCACTAGCATACAAGCAGGGGAAACCTCTTCCCTGACCCCCAGCTGTTCTCCAGTGAACAGAGGCTTGTACCTTCTTGGCGTCCTGGGTCTTGTCATACAGGTATCCAGAGGGCAGGGTGGCAGACACAGGCAACTGTAGCTCTATAGACTGCATCCTGCCGTCCTTCATCAGGGGGGCCCAGGAATAGCCCACTGTTACAGAGTGAGGGATGGACAGGTAAGGTAATGGAGGAAGATACACACACACACACACAGGCACGTGTACATGTACACGCGCACACACACGCACACACACACACACACACACACACACACGCACGCACACACACACACACACACACACACACACACACAGGCACGTGTACATGTACACGCGCACACACACACACTCACACACACACACACACACACACACACACCGCTCCTAGTCTTACCCAGGGACTCGACTCCCTCTCTCTTCTTGGTGCTGGTCTTGGTACTGATCTCACAGCTGATGTGGTAGAAGGTAAATAGGATGTGGTGTTTCTCATGGACATGGACCGGCAGCTCAATCTTTACCTGCACAGATAGATACACAATCAACATGGACGTTAGTGTTTTCAAATTGTCATCTCACTTGACCAAAGATTTTTAAATAAAAAAGTCCTTCTGGAACTGCCTCTAGAATACCCCAGATGAGTCACAAACCTATCATTCTAGTACAACTGTACATATTTCTGACTGTCAGAAATAGTTAGACTAAACCAAAGCAAAACGATTCCTATCGTTACCACTAGGGGGCAGCAAGAGTGCGTAGTAGAATGTTCAGCCTGCCTGCACATGTGCTCTGTGTCAGAGGAAATGACACACAGTGAGCCTATCCATTAACATTTGCTTCTTTCATTCATCAAATTCCAACCTGGAGTCGAGTATGACTTGGTTATGTGTCACAACAAATAGTGTGGTCCTTTCCCTTAAAAGCTCGTTGAAACAGGTCTCCCTGATAAAGTAACTCATTACCAAAGCAGCAGTCCAGATTAATAGAGAGATCAGAGCAGTGAAGGGGTCTTGGAAGGTGTGTTCTAATCCCTATACCATAGACCAGATGGCCCCCCTCCCCAGTCTACATCTCTGTGTCTGTGACAGTGTCCTGATCTCACCTCTCTCTCTCCCTCCCTCCTTCTCTCCCTCCCTCTGATGGGTGTCAGACCAGCCCAGCGTGAGCCAGTCCGGAGCCCCCCGCTCTTGAGCTAGATTATAGGATTTACCCAGCCCTAATGACTGGACTTTGGCCACTGAGGACTTCAACACAATACAGTACCAGTAACAATTGCAGGGAGTAATTGATGTAGCATAGCAAATCAGGGAAAAGGCCAGGTTTATTATGCAAATTGTTCACTGACCTCGTCATAAAACTCAGGGCTCTGGTTGTGGTGGAGGACGGCCGCATAGGCACTGGTGGTGAAGAGTGTCTCTCCTGGCTTTCCGTAGATACACTGAAACACACACACACACATTATTATGAATCTACTGCTCATCTGCTGATGTTGTATGGGCATGTCAGTGAGTAAGATGACAGCAATGCTAATAATTAGACCGAAATGCTGTTAAAGAACCGTACAATCACACCTCAAATACTTGCAACACAAGCAAACCACAGCTACGAACAACGAGGAAGACGAGCTTGTTCACCAGTGTAAGTTAGTTAGAGGTGAGAATGTAGTATGTAAGAGGTGAGAGTTTAAACAGAACTAAACTAAGTGGAGTGGAGACCCAGGAGAGGGAAGGAGGAGGGGGCAGGCTGAGCTGCCAAAGCCCAGGCGTGTGATGTGGCCCTGACCCAGATAGATCCTCTGACCCTGGGCTGGACGGGATGGCCTTTTGTGGGGTAAGGTACTGAGGGTAAAACTCAATGCTAGTCCAGGCAGAGGTCAATTTAGTGCGGTAATTAGAATGTTTTGAATGCATTATATGTAATGTTGTCTCCACCTGAAGCAGTAATATAGTAATGAATTCATACAGCACCAGAAACCTACAGTACAGTGTGACATGGGCTATCGTTCCTTCTATCAGAGCCAGTGTAAAGTCCAGGAACTGCGCTAGCTGGTTTCCGCTGTGTGCTCAATGGAAAGGTGTGTTGTGATGTTGGCCCGAACCTGCTGTTTGTAAACACTTTATTCTGCCTGAGAAAATACTTTGTTCCTAGCCAGACTGTGTGATAAATAATCTGGCTCACTGGTTCTGTGGAAGCCTGTTTGAGTGCAGTGAACAGTGAGAGATTCTGTCTGGTGGAGAAAAAAAATTCCATGGTCGTTTGATGGAGGTTTCCACCCACAAATATTCGACGTGTGCGGATGTTCCACAACGAGAGAGAGCGAGAGAGAGAAAGAGATAGAGGGAGAAAGAGAGAGAGAGAGAGAGAGAGAGAGAGAGAGAGAGAGAGAGAGAGGGAGAAGACGAAGACGAAGAGAGAGAAGGAGAGAAGAGAGAGGAGAGATCACCTGAGGAGACGAGAGATAAGGAATCCGGACGCTGTCCCCCCGACTCCCCCTCCTCCTCCTTCGATCTCCTCTCGCCTCGCTCTCTCTTCGACCCCCTCTCTGAGCCCTCCTTCCGCGCTAACTTGTCTCGCGAGTCCTCCCCGATGCGGAGATCGCGACGAATCGGCGAGCGCGAACGCGCCCTTCGTGCCCTCCTCTCCCCTCTCTCGCGCTCTCCCTCCTTCGCCCTCTTCCTCGCGAGGCGGACGACCCGAGCCTCTAGCGCGACTCTCTCTCTCTTCCTCACTTCTCCCTAGATACCTCTTCGCTCTCTCCCCTCACAGAGAGAGAGAGAAAGAAGGAGACAGAGAGAGAGCTCTCATTTCCTCTCCTAGCCAGCTGTAATAACTGGCTAAGCTTCTGTAAGAGGTATTTTCTCTCCTCTTTTTTCCGCCACTCCACTGTAGTTTAACTTGAACTTTGTCAAAAGTTTGTCTTCTCTCCTGGGGATCCCAGTCATTTTCACTAGATCAGACATTACAGTATCATCCAAACGCTCACCTTTAGAGGGGCCGCGCCTTCTTCGTCAGAGTCTCTGAACTGTACACACACGGCTACGTTTCTTGCCTGGAAGGATAAAAGACACTTCAGTCAATACAATAACTCAACCCAGGAAGGAGGACAGTTGTGAGTGATAATGTGAGCTGTAAACACAATGACCCACTGAACTCAATGTATACTGAACCCAGCCAATCAGAATGAGTTTTTCTTTCCACAAAAGGGCTTTATTACAGACATAAATTCTCCTCAGTTTCATCAGCTGTCCGGGTGGTTGGTCTCAGACGATCACGCAGGTGAAGAAGCCGGTTGTGGAGGTCCTGGGCTGGCGTGGTTACACGTGGTCTGTGGTTGTGAGGCTGGTTGGACATACTGCCAAATTCTCTAAAACGACCTTGGAGGCGGCTTATGGTAGAGAAATTGACATTAAATTATCTGGCAAAAGCTCTGGTGGACATCCCTGCAGTCAGCATGCCAATTGCATGCTCCCTCAAAACTTGAGACATTTGTGGAATTGTGTTGTGACAAAACTGCACATTTTAGAGTGGCCTTTTATCCTGTGTAATGATGATGCTGTTTAATCAGCCTCTTGATATGCCACACCTGTCAGGAAGATGGATTATCTTGGCAAAGGAGAAATGCTCACTAACAGGGATGTAAACAAATTTGAGAAAAATAAGCTTTTTGTGCGTATGAAACATTTCTGGGATCTTTTAATTCAGCTCATGAAATGTGGGACACTTTACATGTTGCGTTCATATTTTTGTTCAGTAGATGTACTGTACTTGCAAATCAGCTTGTTGTTGTTATCTGCACACCATTTTTTTTTGCAAAACAATATATCTCTCTCTTCCCTACATCCCTCCCCCCTCCCACCCTCCCTCCCCCCTTCCTCCTTTCCCCCACCTTGGCGAAGGTCTTCTGGTTGTCATATTTGAGCTGCAGGGGATAGATATACAGGTGGTTCTTGTAGACAGTGAAGGGGTAGTTATACTTGGCCTCCTCAGGGAGAAACTCCTCCATCTCCACTGAGACCCTCTCACACTTCTCCTCAAAGGGCTTGACTGGAATGTAGGACGAGGTCACCGTGTCTGAGGGAGAACAGGGAGGACGTTAGTGACATTATCAACCAATGTAATGGATTATGTAGTACGATTGTCAGTCAACCGCTCAATATTGTTCAATCAAATGTAAACAGCGGAAAACAGGGCAAAACTACCCACTTGAGAAGTCCGGAGGCACACACTCGATGGTGACATTCAGCTGTCCAGGGATAGTCTGCAGCTTGCTCTTCTCTGGCCTGAAGGGGTGAAAGTGTATGAAACAGTCATAACACTATAAGTATGTACGCCTGCAGTGCCAACAGACACTAGGATACCGACTGAAATGTACGTAGTCCAGCCAGCACACTAAACCACCTATACTGTACACTCTTAGAAAAAAGGGTTATTCGGTTCTTCGGCTATCCCCATAGGAGAACCCTTTTTTGGCTACAGGTAGAACCCTTTTGGGTTCCATGTAGAACCCTCTGTAGAAAAGGTTCTACATGGAACCCAAAAGGGTTCTACCTGGAACCAAAAGGGTTCTACCTGCAACCAAAAAGGTTATTCAAAGGGTTATCCTATGGGGACAGCTGAAGAACCCTTTTGGTTCTAGATTGCACCTTTTTTTCTAATAGTGTACAGTCACAATCATCACATCTAATTGATGACTCACTTCCTGATATCTGCCAGCATCTTGATGAGGTCATCGGTGGAGATCTTGCTGCTGTCCTGGCGATAGAGAGGAGAGAACTTCCCGTCCATGTCCAGACTGCCCTGGGCATCTTTAAACACTTGCCTGAGACAACAGAGACAGGATCATGTTTACGTGTAAGGAGGATGTACATAGTAAAATGCAGGTAAATATTCAAATGAAGACACCTGAGGTTGCAAATAAATCGCCACACTGCCTGAGGACAGTAAACATTATTTCCCAAATAGTGAGTCAATTATTCCACAGTTTTACATCTGATTTATGTGTTTTACAGTGTATGAGAGCTGTGTCTTACTTGGCAGCCCAGGCGAAGGGCATCCTATACTGGCCCAGGCGCTGACACGTCTGCTTGGCAGCCTTCAGAACCTTCTGGGCTGTCTGGATTGGAACACAGAGAATGAGTCCAATTTAATAACAGTAACAAGTTAATGAAAAGGTAATAACATGATTTATAACAGTGGCACAGCTACTCAAATGATCATGTTGGAAACAAGATCAAAATAGGCAAAACATGGGAAGCAATTCAGTTTAAAACAAGTTAAACAAGACACTTTAACAGTAGCTCTCTCCGCCATGACAGAATACACACAACCCAGGCAAACACAGTGGTGGCAGAAGACCTTGTTGATGTCTGAAGGGAGACACACAACACACACACACACACACACACACACACACACACACACACACACACACACACACACACACACACACACACACACACAGAGAGAGACAGACACATACCTTGTTGATGTCTGAGGTCTTGATGTAAGGCTCAGCACAGTATGTAATCCCATTCTGTAGGACCTTCTCCACTCTGGCCACCAGGAAAATATCAGCATGGGGGTTGGTCACTGAGAAGATACCCTGGAGGAGAGATGAGGAAGAGAGGATAGATGGAGTAAAAGAAGGATGAGGAAGAAAGATGGAGAAGACAGACGAAGGGAAAAATGACTATTTGAGACTGTTAGGCCTAATGATGACCCAGTGTGGTAGAAACGTTGCATTTAAGCTTTAGATGTATTTAAACAGTTTGCAGGTATTCATCATTTTTCTGTTTGAAACTGTGACATTAGGACTACAGTAGTTCCTAGTCATATTAAGAGTGAGAGTTTATCAACTGTCTCCTGTACAGAGCCTGGAGCTGGGAAGTGGTTGGCTGTCGGTTGTTAGTGGCCGAAGTTATATAGGAAACCCAAACAGAGTTGAAACTATTTTTGGGTCAGTGAGATGAAGCCAACCGTGGCTCTTACACAGAGCGTCACGCACACACACACACATACACACACACACACACACGCACACACACACACACACGCAAAAACATGTTCTTCCTGGGAGTGGCAGCACAGTAAGAGTGGAGATCGTGACACATTAGTAGACATTTGGAACACTTTAACAATACATCAGCTTTGACATAATCCGGACCAAAAGTTGCATTAAGTTGCTCTCGCAGGGGTCTAGCTACTGATTCTGCTACCAAAAACAGATTTACATAAATCACAATATAAAGTTGGCACTGAGTGAGACTGAGGGGAGCCTGCTAGCAGCCGTACTAGTGAGACACACCCTGACTGTTGTGCAGTAGAGAGATGAGGGCTGAGGGCAGGCTGTCCTTGGACTACACCCAAACAGCACCTCAATTACACTGTGATCTGCTGGTCTCCAAGTCTATAATCAGACAGTAATCATAGAGGTAGGCTATTATCTATTTCTCTGTGTCCTGCTAGACTTTGCTAGGTCCACACACACACTGGACAAGAGTTTAATCAAGTTCTGTTTTTTTGTGTCATCAGCATGCATCGTTTGACCAACGAGAGTGAGAATGATCAATGTCTTGATTGATTCTATTCTGTTTGTCATTCTGTTTCTGGGTCCAGATATTTTATTACACGTATTTCCATTCTACCTCACAGGATTTTCTGCTGTGTATCTGTGTTCTTTCTGCTCCAGAGAGAGAGAGAGAGAGCTCTGTCATGTTTCCATGTTGTCTGGGGATGGGAGGTGCAGTATTGCAGTGGGCAATGGTGCTGTCTCCATCCAAACATTTTAGCGACCCTCCTCTTGGCCGCAGAGAAAACATTTAGCTGTTTTAAAGTTTTGCTGTTGTGCGGAGAGAAAATGTTTCCTGCAATTCTACACATTTTGCAATGGGGCTGAGAGAAAATGTGCAGTTTTAAAGCACATTTCCTGCAATTATACACATTTTTCCATGGCTTATGCCGTGTTCTTATGCTATCTGAGCGACTCAAACATTATAACAAAATCAATACGGGCCCCATGCCATGACATTTTTTTAATTTTAGATTCTCCCTGAATGTCTTTTATTTTGGGGTGATTGTTAGTTCTCAAAGATGATCTTATTAACAAATATAGAGCTCCATTATCGTTTCTACATACTTTATATCTGGTTTTAGTAGTTTAAGTTTACACTGACCGGGGCATACATATTATAAATAAAGTTGGCTACACTTCCAGGATTACAAGCTAGGTAGCTAATTACCTTAGAGGTTTCTCGGACGATCTGATGTTGTAACGTGTCACTTTGATCTTAAAAGTGCGCCACGGCGCGCTACTGCTAAATAAATATAGGGGAAACACCGGTACTGTGATTTATTGCTGGGTTCCAACGCTACTGCGGCTGGGTTATCCTGTAAATGGGACCAGCAGCAGTGTGTGTGCGTGCGTGCGCGGGTGTGTTAGGACATCACACTAGACTGTTCTTTTCTAGTCAACTGGCTTCAAACTGTTTAGCAAAACAGGCTAGGGGAGAGTGTATTTCACTGCTACTAGAGCAAGTTTGATATTGCAGTTTGATATTGCAGTTAGCCTTTGAAATGGTAATACTAGCTATATACAATACAGATAGGTTAACGTGAACACATTTCATAGCTGCTGTTCTCATTTACCCAAATACTGTATAATGACGAGTTAACGTTAAGGAGATCAACTTTGAAGCTTTGAGATATTCAACCGATTATTAACACGAAAATCCTCTAGTCAAAATCCTACAGTGTTGCACGGAAGTAGTAGCTGTAGCAATGGATGATGTAGTTATGTTGTATGTTTACGACCATGTGGACAACAGACTTAGTAAACAGTGTAGTCTCAGCCTGAATCTCAACAAGCTTTGAATGAAGGGGGAAAATCAATGGTATCATTCTGATTATGTACTGGTTGCGAAGACGTGTTCATAGTAGCACCAACAGAATCCCCCAGACACCAGAGGTAGTCCAGCGAAATCAGGAGAATCAGTCTACTGCTCTCACACACACACACACGCTGCATTGTGGGTAAATGCAACGATGTGCAGTATTGTGACACCTCATGGACTAGGTGAAAGAGGAGAGGACAGCCACTGTTAACCAGCACCGCTGACGACAACACCTTGCAATCCCCGACGGGAGTGGCTCATCTCTGGATGTCTAATGCCTACTGACAGGTTCGTGGGTCATCAGAAAAAAACTATTTCCTAACAAATCTCAAGCCATCTTCAGTCATCCCTGTCCCACCAACTGATCATCTAAAGTAATCATATCAAATAAGGGAGAGACTTAGTTTGTAATCTTGGGATTCTGTGATGCCGCCATCATTTCTACAGATACACAAGCATGATTTAGTGTGTGTGTGTATGTGTGTAAACAAACACAATGCAACACACAGAATATATTATATAGGTCAGTTAAGGTCACTATGGTCCTACCTGAGTGGGGAATTGCAGCAGAGACTCAGACACCCTTTGTAGAATGGGCAGACCATTCCCTTTCCCTGTATCACTGTTCACTCCTCCATTCACTCCTCCTCCATTCACCCCGCCTCCATTCACCCCTCCTCCTCCTCCACCTCCCTCTGATGTAGGGGAGAGTGGAGAGGTGTCGGTCAGCATCTCTCGTACACAGGGAGGGTTGAGGTCCACGTGGAAGTCAGAAGAGATCTTACAGCTCTTAGACACGTCAAACAGGGCCAGGCTGATGAAGAACGGCTCCACCTGGATAACAGAGAGATGGGAGAGGGTGTGTATGTGTGTGTTTATGAAGTAAAAACAAGAGAGTGTGTGTGTGTGTGTGTGTATACGAGTGTATTTGCACTTCTGTAGACATCAGCATACTAGCTTGAATGATGGCAACCCCACTTCTTCCAGGAACCATTTCGCCTATGTGAGTTTGAGACTAGAGAAGGGGAGAGGAGGGGAGTGCAACAACTTCCCTCCATATAAATCTAGGCCAACTTCCCTTATTCCCCTCCCCTGAACCTATAAATGCTCTAGTGGGCATGAAGTTATTTATCACAGTGTTTTATGTCTACTGTAATCCACTCTGAAGGAGGGAGAGAGGGAGGACTGTGTTCTATACTGCTGGCTCATGCCAAAGAGGCTCTGCATTCGTCTCACACTCTAAACAGAATGCTTACTTCATTCATCAGGGAATCTGAATGTGGATAATGACTTAGGTCTCTATACATCAATTTGGCCATCTATCTTGAAGTATTTCAAATGTGCAATATTTTAGGAAAAAACATAACTACTTGAAATTCTAACCATAATTCTTTATACTTAAAAGATCAAAAATTGATATGAAAAAAAGTTGAATATACAACATAAACACTAAGTCTGATGTCAATTTTGGATCTGCTGTGCTCTGTTGTACGTTACTCATATACGACCTACGTTGGAGCAGGAGGATAGGGTGTGTGTGTGTGACCTTACGTTGGTGAGCACCCCGTCCCCCCTGTCGTTGGCACAGCCCTGCAGGCTGAAGGTGAGGTCATGGCAGCTGACGGCGATGCGCCGGCCGAAACGCTCCTCAAACGGCTTAACATCAGGCTCTATACCTGAGAAGTCCAACCTCTGGAGAGAGGAGAGGAGGGGGGAGAGGAGGAGTGGAGGAGGAGAGGAGGATGGGAAAGAGGTGGGAGGAGAGGGAGGAGGTGGGAGGGATGGGTGAGGAGAGGAGAGGAGGGAAAAAGATGGAGGGAGAGGGGGAAAGTAGAGTGGAGGAGAGAGGTGGGAGAGGAAGGAGGGGGGAGAAAGTAAGGAGGGAGGAGAGGGAGGTCGGGAAGAAAGATGAAGGAGAGAGGAGGGAACAGTGGTTAGCTTCTGGCATCCATCCCCATGGAAACATACAATATACAAACACAGACATTCTCTAACTGAGAGGTTCACTCGATGCCAGTTGAGCCAGCAGGCCCTGGGACTGCCCAGACAGACATGGCATATCATGCATCTATACACACCTATACACTGCCTACTATAAACCTGCTTAAAATAGACTTAAGCAACATTAACAAACATATTGGGGATGAATAGAGTCCAACACAGACGGTCCTAACCTGTGTTTCAGGGTCCAGAGAGAACAGCTTTTGCCTCCCCTCGTTCCTGTTGATTTTATTGAGCTGGTCTGTTTCCCTGGCGTACTGCAGAGAGAGAAACACAGACAAAGAACAGCCTCAGGTCACAGTGAGATCTCCATCATCCCTCTCTCCTCTCACACCATCCATCCATCCATCCATCCATCCCCAGAGAGAGACAGTAGAGTTAACCAGGAAGAGGAGAGCTGGGACATCTCAGAGCAGACAGCTCTCTTTGTTCTCCATGTGCTGTTCTGGGATTATAGGCACATTAAAGCAGTGAGGTGGTCTCTATGGGATAAACATAAGCTGCATCCCAAATGGCACACTATTCCCTCTAACGTCCACTACTTTTGCCCAGGGCCCATAGGGCACTATATAGGGAAAAGGGTGCCATTTGGGACATATCTATCCTGTACTGTTGTTACGTCCTGGATTAGAGGATGTAGCCTACAGTAGGGACCTGCTACAGACAAAAGAGCTAGTGAACTGTAGTTCTCTGATACTGAAATGCTATCAGATAAATACATGTGAAAGATCAGTGAGCAGATACCACTTTAGAGGCAATAGGGTGTGTCACGACTTCCGCCGAGGCTGCCTCCCCTCCTTGTTCGGCAGGTTTCGGTGTTCGTCGTCACCGGCTTACTAGCTACTGCCGCTCCCATTCTCATCACTCCACTTGTCATGTCTTGTCTTGTCAATCACACACACCTGGTTCATATCCCCTCATTAGTCCCCTCATTAGTGTTCCCTCTGCCCCCCTTGTCCTTGTGGGTGATTGTTTTATGTGAAGATGAGTGTAGCTCGGTTGAGCTACCCGTACGTTGTATTGCCGGGGTTATTTCTCCCCGTGTGCCTGTATTGTGTTCCAGTGCGCCTGTATTACGCCCTGTGCTGTTGACGCTATCCAGCGTAACTGTGTCCTACGGAATAACGTCTGTATTCTGTGATTTACCCTCCTGTGCCTGACTCCTTCAAATCACACTCTCACAGGGTGCAATTTGGGACGCAAGCATTTTGTTTCTCTAACTGACTAGAAAAACATTCCTTATCAATAATCATTACTGCTTAAACATATGTAAACTCTATCTGCTATCTAGAACCTAAAAGAGTTATTCAGCTGTCGTCCATAGGAGAACCCTTTTTGGCTCTAGGTAGAACCCTTTTGGGTTCTCTGTAGAACCCTTTCCACAGAGGGTCCTACATGGAACCCAAAATGGTTCTACCTGGAACCAGAAATGGTTCTACCTAGAACCAAAACGGGTTCTCCTATGGGGACACCCAAATAACCCTTTTGGAACCCTTTTTTCTACGAGTAAAACTTTTAAAACTGCACTTTCCGTTCTCTCCAAAGGAAACAGGATACGCTCTGTCTGAATGACCCTATAAAACCTCTCCACCATGTGGCTAGAATCACTACCATGTGTGTGTGTGGGGAATATCCACACTACTAGAATAAAACACTGCTGCTAATGAGACCAGAGGTGAAGAGAGCAAGTCAGACTAAAACATACTGCCAACATCCACCAGGCTGAATCAATTAGCAACAGGGTCTACACACTATGCCTAAGAGTGGACTGCACAGACAGCTACATTATGTATCATATGCTTAGTAAGAAATGTATTTAAAAATGAACATATATATATATATATGCTCGTTCGTATGATGGTAAGTATGATCTCAATCTCAATCAACTATTCTTATTTACATAACATAAATAGCATAGTTGACAGTAGGCCTACTTTATGGGATTCCTCTGTAGTGTGTGATTGATGTTGATAACAGTAACAGTATTACCTTGATGAGTTCAGGGTGTAGGCTCCTCCCCAGACTCTCCAATAGGCTCTCTCCTTTCCCCTGGCTGCTACTGTCGTCATCTGATTGGACGAGAGAGGAGTCAGTCAAAGAGAGTACTGATCATAGAGCCTGATGTATGATTCAGATGAGTATAATGACATCTGATATTAGTGCACCTTTTCCTTGATATCTGATCCTCCTAGAGTTGTGCACTTGGATATTCACCTGCACAAAGCTACTGGATGATTCTACTTCATGTTACATTCTTTACCTTCCATGTTGAGCGATGTCCCAATGAGCTTTTCCTACTAACTCTGCTGCGTGTCTGACTCCCTTCAGTGTGCTGGGGACCAGCCAGGCTAACTGACTCCCACAGCTTTCTGCTGTATTAGCCAAAATCTCTCAGCATCTCAGAGGCATATGAGAAAATAATGTATTTGTTTTTAGAGGGACGTTTGAGGAGAGTGTGTCTACCCTTATGAGAAAATGAATGTCCCAAACTGTCAATTGCTCAGAGGCTGTACACACAGGTAAACATGAAGACACGGACACACACACACACAGACAGACACGCACACAGACAGACACGCACACAGACAGACACGTATGCATGCAAAAAAACCACATATCAAATCAAAGTTTATTGGTCACGTGCACAAAAAACACAAAAACACACACACACACACACACACAGCTGCTGGATCATAATGTTGGTGTTCCTCCACTTATCTAACAGCCATTATATGCATAGTTCAATAGTTCACAATAACTTCCTTTTATGTCAACAAACAATTCCAATGAAGTTTGAAAGGGGAACTAAATGCTAGAGGCAGATAAAATGACTGGTGAAAACTAGCAATACAATGCTGCCTTGTTGTACCAACTGTTGTGTATCATCCTGTAATTGACTGTTTAGGCTATTCAGTGTGTGTTTACAGGTTAGGGGGAGGGATTTGAAACTCCTAGAGGAGATGACTGTGTTGAAAGACATGTGCAACTTTTCTTTGGAAAAAATAGCAGGAGTGGAGTAGCTAAATAATACGATTCTTTTGTACTGCAGGTGTGTAGGAGTAGGAGAGTACAGGATACAGTGTGTGTGTGTGTGTGTGTGTGTGTGTGTGTGTGTGTGTGTGTGTCCAGTCTAATCCCTTCCATCCTCACCCAGGGCACAGTCTAGGCTGTCTCCTCCGTTCCTCCTGTCTCCTCCCTCGGTGCTGCTCTGCAGCGCCTGTTTCAGGGTGACCACCCACTCCTCCATCTCCGCCTCGCTGTCCGCAGCCAGGAAGTGGCTGTAGCGCTCCTGCATCTTCAGCTCAAATCCGTTACGGCGCATCTTAGGGCACTGGGAGGGGGGGGGGGGGGGGGGGGGGGGGTTGGAGTCATTTAGTAACATAAGCTTAAAACAGTTACTACAGATCTTAGGGCACTGGGGTGAAAATCTAGAAGTTTGGTTGGAGTCATTTAAACATTGTGGCTCAAAGCTCAAAGCTGTTACCGCACATCTTAGGGCGCTGGGGAGGAGAGACAGAGGATAGGCCTGGTTGGAGCAGCATATTGCCAAATAACACTCGGCTCAACACTCAAACGTGCTAGTGAGTAGCCAGCTAATATTTAGAGTTTAGCCAACTTGGGTCTATTTGCTAGCTAGATAACAAGGCAGAACAGTTGAATTGTTATGAACACACCCTTCTGTCCGTCTCCAACTGTTTGAACAGCATGCTAGCCTGTCTGCTTTGTTCAGATGTTGAAATCAATAACTTATTTCTCAGAATGAGAACGAGTTGCCAATTCCCTATATAATTGTGTTTTATGCTTATTGCACATTTATAAAACACAGACTAGACAGCTAGTATAACAGTCTTTGGTTAAAATGCTGCTAGGTACCGACAAACTGAGCAATGTTTATTGATACACCCGTTTTAGTAGTGTCTGCTCTGTGCGCAGTTTGAGTAGTTGAGACATAAAAAGGGTATCGTTAGAAAGGTTAACTTCTCTATTACAGTAAAATAATGTCTGTTAGATTAATTTGGATTTTAAGAATAATGACTAAAGAATTTCTGTGGTTGTGGTTGTTGTCTTGTTCCCTGTGTCCGAGGATTGGTGAGTCAGGCGTTGGTGAAATGCAGTATCTAAACAATGATGAGAGATGGACTGACTCCGGACTCTGACCAGGGGAATGTGAAAAACGATCCTCCAGGCTTGGTGGATGACGAGGATTTGGACCCTGAAAGACCGCAATTGGATGAAATGTTTATTAGTTCTGATGTGATCTCTGAGATTAATCATGCTTGTAAAATACATTTATCCTGAATGTGGGAATATTTAGTCAAAGGGGTGGATTGTTAGATTAATTTGGATTTTAAGAATAATGACTAAAGAATTTCACCCCAAACACAGTATAAATGTTAGAATTATCATGTAGTGTCAACCCACTAACAGAGGGGGCGTTACTAACCATTCAAGGGGGAAGGCGGGAACTGTTTAAGAAAGCCACCTAAAGGTGGGAGGAGCATAGTGTCTTTGTTTGTCAAGGGGTATAAAAACAGTATGTTTGCGTTTTTGAGCAGAGCTCTCCTTGAATAAATTTACCGATAATTACTTGTGGATTGTGGACCTTGAATCATTGATGATTAAAACCAGAGCTTTACAACCTCTGGTAATGATTCAAGCTTAGGTTGAATTAGAGATAGAAATTCACATGACAATGTCTCAATGTGATTCAGTGTCCATATGACCAATTCTGTTGGACCAAACCTCAAATGCAAATAGCACGTTGAAACCGCTTGACAGAGAGGAAGAAGTGATCTCTCATCTCTGTTGTTGTGAGTGGCATGGGAAGGGGCTTGGTGTGTGTGTGTGTGTGTAAACAGAGTGGAAGAGGCAAAGCGAGATTAGTTTCTTTGGGCTTATTTTGGACCTAAGTTTGTGGCCTGCCTTCCCGCCTTTGGGACAACGACTCCCATTGTTAGGGCGGAGACATGAGCATCTCGTCATTATATACAGATCTCTGATGTAAATGGGAAGAAATGACAGATCTCTGATGTAAATGGGAAGGTGCACACAGCACAGAAGGAGTGAAGGAGACAAGACCAAAAAAACAACATGAGAACAAGCGGACATAAACGCTAAAAAAAATAAAAATAAAAAATTGCGATACAGGCATTTGAAATATCGTGCAAAAACATACATTCAAAATAATGTTATATATCGCCCAGTCATAGGTCCCTGATGGATTTGCTATCCCAAAAGGGGTCCCCGGCCCCAAAAAGGTTTGGGAACCCCTGTCTTAGGTCACTGGGAGGAGGGGAGAAAGAGGAAAGTTTGCAGGAGTCATCAACAGGTTTGTGCACTTAATTGCAGTCTACTAGTACAAACCATCAATTTCGTGTTAATAGGGCAAAAACTTAGCCTAAATAGTTATACATTCATTACCAAAGTCAACAACATAAAGCACCATAGACCTTTGGTCTTGCAAACATCAGTGTTAGCTTTAATACAAAGAACCTTTGGATAATCACCCGCCATATTCAGTAGATGCCTTTCTGCAAAATGACTCCGTTCACTCACTATATCTCCAAAATACTTTCAACCAATGGAAAGCTTCTTGGCAGTCTCTCCAGCCTACTGTACCACCCAGTGCCAACACTCAGCAGTCTCTCTCATTCATTAACAATAAAAACGCTAAACGCAGCCATTTTGTTATACCCGGTGACTGGAATGCAGTATCCTGACTTAATTTTCAAGAAGGTTGCCTTTTTATGTGGTCACAGTGGGAGTTTTCCCAATGGAATTCCATTTTACTGGGAAGTGAGAATGTACACCCAACAGAATTCCATCTAGTTATTGTGTAATACATACTGTAGCTTACCTGTTGACTGGTTTTTAGGCCTAAATCTTTATCAGCAACTATTCCCACTGGGCACAGACGTAATTTAAACGTGCAGTTTGGTTTACATTTGGTTGAGTTGTCAACTAATGTGAATTCAACATGAATTCAACAAAAAATGTCACCATGTTGATGACTTACGTTGATGACTTTTTCCAAATCCAATCAGTTTTCTAAGTCGATTCAACATCATCACATAAAAAAAATAAAAAAATAGGAATATCATGTAAACAACGATGATTCAACCAGTTTTTTCCCAGTGGGTTGTTGTGTAACAAGCCTGATTCTGAGTGTGCTGGTGCCATTTTTGCCTCTTTAGAGTCCAGAGATGACTTATTAATTGAATTAGCAATGATCTATTTGATTATCAAAGACTTCCTTTCATGGCTGGCAGGAAGAAAGTCTACCGTCTAGGACAGAGAAGACAATATATATAGATTTGTCTGTCTCCACAAAGCCCAGAGTGCATGGTGTGCCTCTGTAAGCAAATGGTCAATCTATTCCAGGGACACATTAGGAACAAACATTAACCATATACAAAGATACACCGTACTGTATTCTTCAAAACAACCACTTGACGTCAATGATCTCCAAGTCAAGATGAGATAAGAGGCCGTGTTCAATAAGCATCTCAAAGTAGCTGATCTAGGATCAGGTCCCCCCCTGTCCATGTAATCTTATTCATTGTGATCTAAAAGACCAAAATGATCCTAGATCACCACTCTGAGACTCTTTGTGAATAAGGTCCCAGGTCACCTGAATGACGTCTATACAGGAGTCCAGGTAGATGGATCCTTTGGTGTCCTTGCAGTTCTTCTCATCCTTGTAGGAGTTGAGGATGTAGGAGCCGTCTGGCAGCTGGGACAGGTAGGAATACCTCCTCTTAAAAACCTGATAATCAGAAGAAGGGTTTCAATTCAAAATCATCCAATAGCAACGTTGCTTTTATTTCTAATAGTGTACATCTGCTGTACAGTCTAGTGGATGTGTGTGTACAGAGGTAGATAAGGCTGGTGATCAAATGTATTGTTGTGACATTGTGTATACAGCACATGGTGTACCGTCAATAGGCTAGGCCCAGTATCCCCATGCAGCTACTACTAGCAATACTTTAGCATTCCTTTAGCATTCCTTTAGCATTACTTTAGCATTCCTTTAGCATTACTTTAGCATTACCTAACGTATTGCACAGAGACTATGTATGAACAGATCTAAATCTATCAAAGACCACACGTTTTTTTTTAATCAACCATGAATGAACCTTTCTGAATACAGTGCATTCAGAAAGTATTCAGAATCCTTGACTTTTTCCACATTTTGTTACGTTACAGCCTTATTCTACAATGGATTAAATAGATTTCTTCCCCCTCATCAATCTACACACAATACCCCATTATGACAAAGCAAAAACAGTTTTTTTTGTGTATATAGTTGTAGATACTTTTTTTGATTGGCTGAATCAGGTAGGGCCCTATCAAATCCGCGATGCGGAGAACGCGAACGGAATCACAGAATCCAGACATTAAAACGGACTTCAACAATATTCAAAAATGTATTGAACTTAGTAGGATATCAACTAAATGTATTGAACTTATTAGAACACTTATTAATTAGATCAGGATTATCATAAGACATGAACAAAATGCATCCGAGTGGCGCAGCGGTCTAAGGCACTGCATCGCAGTGCTAGAGGTGTCACTACAGACCCGGGTTTGTTCCCGGGCTGGATCACAACCGGCCGTGATCGGGAGTCCCATAGGGTGGCGCACAATTGGTCCAGTGTCGTCTGGGTTTGGCCGGTGTAAGCTGTCATTGTAAATAAGAATTTGTTCTTAACTGACTTGCCTAGTTAAATTAAGGTTAAATTATTTTTTTATTTTTTTTAATGCATCAATGATTCGTATTTTCCTTCTTTCTTTCTGAAGAGGCAACGCAGGCAACGCGGGAATAGCCTTTCTGTGTGTGCGTGTTTGTTTGTCTACCACTTTGTGTAGCCATTAGAGATGATGCTAATGATAACCGTCTTCTGGTAGATGGAAAGGCTTTCCCAAAAACCTTCTCAATTAAATGTTAACTACAAAATAGCCTATGCCTACCTGCAGAATGATATTATGATTATTTGGCGATTTGTGATTTGAAAAGTCCGCAATCAGAAACACAGCTAATCAAACAAGTCTCTTGATGGTGCACACCTGAATTAAAGGGTATCTACACCCCAAAAGCCTTACAGCCTTGAATCTTCTTGGGTATGACCCTACAAGCTTGGCACAGCTGTATTTGGGGTGTTTCTCCCATTCTTCTCTGCAGATCCTCTCAAGCTCTGTCAGGTTGGATGGGGAGCGTCGCTGCACATCTATTTTCAGATCTCTCCAGAAATGTTCAATCAGGTTCAAGTCCGGGATCTGGCTGGGCCACTCAAGGACATTCAGAGACTTGTCCCGAAGCCACTCCTGCGTTGTCTTGGCTGTGTGCTTAGGGTCGTTGTCCTGTTAGAAGGTGAACCTTTGCCCCAGTCTGAGGTCCTGATCACTCTGGAGAAGGTTTTCATCAAGGATCTCTCTGTACTTTGCTCCGTTCATCTTTCCCTCGATCCTGACTAGTCTCCCAGTCCCTGTCGCTGAAAAACATCCCTACAGCATGATGGTGCCAGGTTTCCTCCAGACGTGACGCTTGGCATTCAGGCCAAAGAGTTCAGTCTTGGTTTCATCAGACCAGATAATCTTGTTTCTCATGGTCTGAGAGTCCTTCAGGTGCCTTTTGGCAAACTCCATGCAGGCTGTCATGTGCCTTTTACTGAGGAGTGGCTTCCGTCTGGCCACTCTCCCATAAAGGCCTGATTTGTGGAGTGCTGCAGAGATGGTTGTCCTTCTGGAAGGTTCTCTCTTCTCCACAGAGGAACTCTGGAGCTCTGTCAGAGTGACCATCAGGTTCTTGGTCACCTCCCTGACCAAGGCCCTTCTCCCCCGATTGCTCAGTTTGGTCGGGCGGCCAGCTCTAGGAAGAGTCTTGGTGGCCACTTTATTCTTGGGGACCTTCAATGCTGCAGAAATGTTTTGGTACCCTTCCCCAGATCTGTGCCTCGACACAATCCTGTCTCGGAGCTCTACGGACAATTCCTTCGACCTCATGGCTTGGTTTTTGCTCTGACATGCACTGTCAACTGTGGGACCTTATATAGACAAGTGTGTGCCTTTCCAAATCATGTCCAATCAATTTAATTCAATAAAGTTGTAAAAACATCTCAAGGATGATCAATGGAAACAGGATGCACCTGAGCTCAATTTTGAGTCTCATAGCAAAGGGTCTGAATACTTATGTAAATAAGGTATTTCTGTTTTTTTATATTTAATACATTTGCAAAAATGTTTTAAAAAAACAGTTTTTGTCATTATGCAGTATTGTGTGTAGATTGATGCGGTATTGTATGTAGATTGATTAGGAAACATTAAAAAACATTTTTTTGAATAAGGCTGTAACTTCAAGGGGTCTGAGTACTTTACGAATGTCAGTAGACAAGGATGGTGGGTGAGCTGTTCTAACTCACCCTCATGGAGACAGACAGGCTGCTGTTGATGTTGGCTTTCTGCAGCCAGCCCTGCTTCATGATACCTCCTCTCTGAGAGCACAGAGATGACGAGTCCTGGTGACACACACACACACACAGGAAGGAAGGAGAGTTAGTATTGATAATGGGTGTGGATATACAATCAATAGGCTAATACACACACGTCACACCCACACCCACACACACGCACGCACACACACACAACTCAGTTAACACATTGAAGTGGCACTGTCCTTTGCGCTCGTCCGATCGTAAGTATGCCTCTCTCTAGCTCTGTGCTGTAATCCAATTGGCTGAGCTCTCTCCTCTGTCCTCCCTCATTACTCCAACCCCTCCCTCGCTTCGAGAACCCCCTTCATCCCTATATCCGACCCTCCCTCGATCACACATGAAAAAATACTCCAGTTTACTATAGAATACTACTGTACTTACTATATAATTATGTAGTAAACTGTAGTATACTGTAGAATACTATACTACACACTGTAGTATCCCTCGGCCATGTGTAATTCTTACTATATAATTTTGTAGTATACAGTAGAATACTATAGTAAATACTACAGTATACAACAGAATGCAAAAACACTACAGTAATTCCTTCAATAATGTCTGCAAAAACACTATAGTCCGCAAAATTACTACAGTAATTACAATAGTTTATTATACAACAGCTTTAATTTGCATATACCCTGCCCATTCTCCTCCCCCATATCCCAGTTTACAGTGAGGGAAAAAAGTATTTGATCCCCTGCTGATTTTGTACGTTTGCCCACTAACAAAGAAATGATCAGTCTATAATTTTAATGGTAGGTTTATTTGAACAGTGAGAGACAGAATAACAACAAAAAAATCCAGAAAAACACATAAATTGATTATAAATTGTCGAAAATGTTATAAATTGAATTGCATTTTAATGAGGGAAACAAGTATTTCACCCCCTCTCAATCAGAAAGATTTCTGGCTCCCAGGTGTCTTTTATACAGTTAACGAGCTGAGATTAGGAGCACACTCTTAAAGGGAGTGCTCCTAATCTCAGCTTGTTACCTGTATAAAAGACACCTGTCCACAGAAGCAATCAATCAATCAGATTCCAAACTCTCCACCATTGCCAAGACCAAAGAGCTCTCCAAGGATCTCAGGGACAAGATTGTAGACCTACACAAGGCTGGAATGGGCTACAAGACCATCGCCAAGCAGCTTGGTGAGAAGGTGACAACAGTTGGTGCGATTATTCACAAATGGAAGAAACACAAAAGAACTGTAAATCTCCCTCGGCCTGGGGCTCCATGCAAGATCTCACCTCGTGGAGTTGCAATGATCATGAGAACGGTGAGGAATCAGCCCAGAACTACACGGGAGGATCTTGTCAATGATCTCAAGGCAGCTGGGACCATAGTCACCAAGAAAACAATTGGTAACACACTACGCCGTGAAGGACTGAAATCCTGCAGCGCCCGCAAGGTCCCCCTGCTCAAGAAAGCACCTATAAGGGGCCATCTGAAGTTTGCCAATGAACATCTGAATGATTCAGAGGAGAACTGGGTGAAAGTGTTGTGGTCAGATGAGACCAAAATCGAGCTCTTTGGCATCAACTCAACTCGCCGTGTTTGGAGGAGGAGGAATGCTGCCTATGACCCCAAGAACACCATCCCCACCGTCAAACATGGAGGTGGAAACATTATGCTTTGGGGGTGTTTTTCTGCTAAGGGGACAGGACAACTTCACCGCATCAAAGGGACGATGGACGGGGCCATGTACCGTCAAATCTTGGGTGAGAACCTCCTTCCCTCAGCCAGGGCATTGAAAATGGGTCGTGGATGGGTATTCCAGCAAGACAATGACCCAAAACACACGGCCAAGGCAACAAAGGAGTGGCTCAAGAAGAAGCACATTAAGGTCCTGGAGTGGCCTAGCCAGTCTCCAGACCTTAATCCCATAGAAAATCTGTGGAGGGAGCTGAAGGTTTGAGTTGCCAAACGTCAGCCTCGAAACCTTTATGACTTGGAGAAGATCTGCAAAGAGGAGTGGGACAAAATCCCTCCTGAGATGTGTGCAAACCTGGTGGCCAACTACAAGAAACGTCTGACCTCTGTGATTGCCAACAAGGGTTTTGCCACCAAGTACTAAGTCATGTTTTGCAGAGGGGTCAAATACTTATTTCTCTCATTAAAATGCAAATCAATTTATAACATTTTTGACATGCGTTTTTCTGAATTGTTTTGTTGTTATTCTGTCTCTCACTGTTCAAATAAACCTACCATTAACATTATAGACTGATCATGTCTTTGTCAGTGGGCAAACGTACAAAATCAGCAGGGGATCAAATACTTTTTTCCCTCACTGTATGCCACCCATGTGAGAAACCTAAATGTCACATATAGACCACATATTGTGTTCCCTACGGCCCATACACAAAAAATTTTTTTATGCATGCATGATTTGAATAAAAGCGTCTGCAAAATGGCATATTATTATTATTATTATTATTATGGAAAATTTGCTCTTTGAGTATTTTGTCAAGTAGGTTTCCTCAAGGAGAAACCCCCCACTATAGTAAATACTACAGTAATGTCCACAAAAACACTATAGTAAATACTATAACATTCACTACAAAAACAATTACTACAGGATTTATACTATAGTAATCTGTAAATACGACAGTATATTACAGTCATGTCCGCAACACTACAGTGAATACTCTAAAGTCCGCAAAAACACTACATTGAATACTATAGTATTTATACCATAGTATACTGCAGTATTTTTCATGTGGGATCCCTCACCAATCTCCCTGATTGCATTATCATTGATTCATTCTTATGGTCATTCCTCTCCTCTCTCTCTATCTCTCTCGCTCTCCCTCTCTCTATCTCTCTCGCTCTCGCTCTCTCTATCTCTATCTATTTCTCTCTCTAGTGGTTATAAAAGGATGCTGGGATGAAAGGAATAGGCTAAATATAGACATATAGATCTATCAGTGATACACCATTACGGCTTCCTCCCTCTGAGACAAGATGTCTGGGGTGTAGCTAGAAAGGACATTGTAAGTCATGTAACATTAGCCAGCCTCTTTTAGTGCTCCTGGATTGATAGACAGCCTCTGCTCTGCTCTCTTTCTCCCTCTCTCTTTAGTACTGAGCTGTATCTGAAATGGCAGCCTATTTCCCTGTATAGTGCGCTACGTTTGCCAGGGCCCATAGGGCTCTGGTCAAAGGTAGTGCACTATATAGGGAATAGGGTTCCATTTCAGCCGCAGCCCTGGAGTGATTCAGTGATAGCCTCTGCTCTGTGCTCTCTGCTCTCAGTAATATGTCTGTCAGCTGTTTATTTTCCTTCAATCGTTCAATTACAACCCTTTTTAATGCTAAGTTTATCCACATCCGGCCGGGCCGATGAGGGCGGGGGAGGGTTGGGGGTCGATGAGAACTATTTTTAGAAAAGTAGAGCTGTGGTTTCACTGCTAAGGAGGAGTGAGGAGGACTGACTGGCTGTAGTAGCCTGGTCCGAGATCTGTTTGCGCTGTCTTGCCTCCTCCTAATGTGACAATGACCATAGGCGTAGCCAAGACAGCACAAACACATCTGGGGCCAGGCTATGGCTGTAAACCACACATCATAGTGGCACAGTGCCGGTTAGGGTTTCTGGATGTAAGCTACGGTATCTCTATTGAATTGCTGTTATTTGATGCATTGTATTGTATTGTTAGCATCTTTTCTTAAATGCTTTGGGGGGATGCAGCAATGTGTTGATGTTATGCTCAAAGTCAAAAGGGTATTTTAAACATGACCACCACCAAGCCAACAAGGCCTAGAGGACGTGAGTGAACTGGCCACAAAAAGACCCTTGAGAATACCAGACCACTCAACATCGTCTGATAATCAATGTCTCTCTCTCTCTCGCACGCATGCACGTACATAGGCGCGCACACATATACACACACATTTACACACACACACACACACACACACACACATAGACTGGTCTAACACCCCAGGCCTAACATTCCACTCACCTCATCTTTAGCGTCTTCATCGATCTCAAACACGTGAGCCGGCAGCTTGTCCGTCTTCAGGCCTTTACTGTGAAAACACATGTTGTGTGAGAGAGAGGGTTGTTGTGTGTCAGCAACCCAGGACTATATACTCAATACATCAACTCCTTCCTACTGTATCTCGCTTCTGGTCATTTCAATATTGTGTCTTCGTACAGTATCAAAAGCTAGTCTATATCCTCAATGGATCAAAAGCTAGTCTATATCCTCAATGGATCAAAAGCTAGTCTATATCCTCAATTAATCAAAAGCTAGTTTATATCCTCAATTAATCAAAAGCTAGGCTGTATCCTCAATTAATCAAAAGCTAGTCTATATCCTCAATTAATCAAAAGCTAGGCTATATCCTCAATGAATCAAAAGCTAGGCTATATCCTCAATGGATCAAAAGCTAGTCTATATCCTCAATGGATCAAAAGCTAGTATATATCCTCAATGGATCAAAAGCTAGTCTATATCCTCAATTAATCAAAAGCTAGGCTATATCCTCAATGGATCAAAAGCTAGTCTATATCCGCAATGGATCAAAAGCTAGTATATATCCTCAATGAATCAAAAGCTAGTCTATATCCTCAATGGATCAACAGCAAGTCTATATCGTCAATTCATCTACGCCTTGCTTCCTATCTACAATCTGATCATTCCTATGCTGTTTCTTTCTATCAATGGCTTTTCATTTCCAGATTTCCAGCACCTTGGAAGCATGCATGTATCAATGGCTTTTCATTTCCAGATTTCCAGCACCTTGGAAGCATGCATGTATCAATGGCTTTTCATTTCCAGATTTCCAGCACCTTGGAAGCATGCCTGTTTTAATGGCTTTTCATTTCCAGATTTACAGCATATTGGAAGCATGCATGTATCAATGGCTTTTCATTTCCAGATTTACAGCACCTTGGAAGCATGCCTGTTTTAATGGCTTTTCATTTCCAGATTTACAGCATCTTGGAAGCATGCGTGTATCAATGGCTTTTAATTTCCAGATTTACAGCACCTTGGAAGCATGCGTGTATCAATGGCTTTTAATTTCCAGATTTACAGCACCTTGGAAGCATGCGTGTATCAATGGCTTTTCATTTCCAGATTTACAGCACCTTGGAAGCATGCGTGTATCAATGGCTTTTCATTTCCAGATTTACAGCACCTTGGAAGCATGCGTGTATCAATGGCTTTTCATTTCCAGATTTACAGCACCTTGGAAGCATGCGTGTATCAATGGCTTTTCATTTCCAGATTTACAGCACCTTGGAAGCATGCGTGTATCAATGGCTTTTCATTTCCAGATTTCCAGCACCTTGGAAGCATGCGTGTATCAATGCTTTTCTGTTCTAGACTTACGTTGGGAGCATGCGGAAATCTCCTGAGTATGCTTCATATTTGTAGTTGATGACGTGCCAGTCCGTGTTGTAAGTCTTGATGCACTGCCAAACAGGTCAACATTAAGAGCTCAATTAGTAACATTACAACACCAAGGGACCAGGGAAATAAAGAGTTCACAGTTCACACCATGCCAGAAAAGTGTCATTGTATGTCATTGTCAAGTTTTTGCTTTAGGTATGGTGCTCGCTGAGTAACAGTTAACAGGTAAACATCACTCAATTGGGACCAACCAGGAGTTTGTTTCTGGTCAGGCCTCAAAGTTCCAATTGATTCTTATTACGATATAGCCTTGTCAAGTTTTGTCTAGAGGCATTTATTTGTTGTGTAATAGTGTAAACTGAATGAGTACCTCTTTGGCGAACAGGCTCTTGGCGTCCCTCTCTGCATTCTGGGGCACTGAGGGAACCACGGTCCTCCTCTGACGAGAGATCTGAGACTCCTACACAGAGAGGAAGAGGGGGGTTGGAAAGAGAGACGAGGGTGAACAGTCTTTTAGGCTTTTAGTGCTTTGTGTCTTCTGATCAGAACCACATGTGTTCGAATAATGTGTATTTGAAAGAGTCCCAATAATCTGTCAGTGACTGAGTTAGACTGGACTGGCTGGATCGCTTGGTTTTGACCAATAAATATGTCCCTCCTTGCAGGGTAAAACAAGGCTGTGTGTTGAGGGCTAAACTGGTGGATAATGGGAAAATATAAGAACACCCTCCCTGAGCCAATTCTTACAGAATTTGCTGGTCTTGGTATAAAATAAACGACTGTTTCTGCAGTATTTTCTGGTATTCATATTATATGCTACTGTAGGGCTATAGTTCTGTAGCTAGCTACTCTACAAATGTGGGCCTGGTTGTCCAGTGTTTCTAGGAGCATATTTGAAAGAGTATGTCACTTTTATAAATGTTCTCTAATAAAAAATGTGTATGAATTTTAACAAACTAAACAAATAATGTTTCTTCCCAGAACTACAGCACCCTATTTGGGTCTGCATGTTCCCTGTGTCAGTGTGTGTGTGTGTGTGTGTGTGTGTGTGTGTGTGTGTCAGTGTGTGTGTGTGTCAGTGTGTGTGTGTGTGTGTGTGTGTGTGTGTGTGTGTGTGTGTGCGTGTGCGTGTGCGCGCGCGCGCGCGTGTGTGTGTGTGTGTGTGTGTGTGTGTGTGTACCGAGATGTCGTCGACAGGACACTGCAGCAGGTCTCTGTGAGGGTCACTGTGGATCTGGGCTTTCCTCTGGAACACCACGTTCTCATAGTCCAAAGGCTCAATGATCTTAGGCTGCTCCTGTAGAGAATCATAGACAGTCAAGTTACCAAGAGACACACAGATAGGCTACCATACATTACATTACATTTACATTACATTTTGGTAATTTAGCAGACACTCTTATCCAGAGCAACTTCAATGAGTGCATTCAACTTAGATAGGGAAGCCAATCACAGTCATTGCAAGTAAAAACCTTTGTTCAAAAAAGCAGCCATCAGCTAAATCAGTGCTAACAAGAAAAGACAACGCAAATGCAGACAGACGCATAAACACAAAGGCACACACCCTCACCCACTCATTCACATTAACAGGGGGATACATTGGATAGATTTGCTTAGTCATTTATGCCATTGTATATAACATTGTATTTCCCATATGTATTTGCCATGTCTTTCTTAAAGCACTATGTTGTTTATTGCGACAATATTTGTTAGCTCTTTTGTAAGCAGTAAGCTACAAGTGAACAAAACATTAAGAACACCTTCCTAATATTGAGTTGCACACCCTTTTGCCCTCAGAACAGCCTCAATTCGTAGGGGCATGGAATCTACAAGATGTCGAATGCGTTCCACAGGGACGCTGGCCCATGTTGACTCCAAGGCCTCCCAGAGCTGTGTCAATTTGGCTAGATGTCCTTTGGGTGGTGGACCATTCTTGATACACACTGGAAACTGTTGAGCGTGAAAAACCCAGCAGCGTTGCAGTTCTTGACACACTCAAACCGGTGCCCCTGGCACCTACTACCATACCCCGGTCAAAGGCACTTAAATATATTGTCTTGCCCATTCCCCCTCTGAATGGCACACATACACAATCCATGTCTCAATTGTCTCAAGGCTTAAAAATCCTTCTTTAACCTGTCTTCTTCCCTTCATCTACACTGATTGAAGTGGATTGAAGTGGATCTAACAGGTGACATCAACGGGATCATAGCTTTCACCTGGATTCACCTGGTCAGTCTATGTCATGGAAAGAGCAGCACATTTTTCCGTATAGGCCTATGTAGCAATCAAAATTAGGCTACAGTCATTTACCGTTGTCTATCCTCAAAGTGTTTAGGTGCACATAATCATCACAACACTCACTAGATCGAAGTTATGTTTTTTTATTCAGTTTTAGAGTTTTCCTTGTTCATATTTCTCCCGTTGTGTCGAAGCTTGGTCTATCTCTGCCAACCAGGTTGTGTCACGAACGCGCGCCTGTGCAAGGCTATGTGTTGGCACCAATCACCAGTTCCATTCATATGGCCTATATGGGCCCGTTTCTGAGGCCATTTAGTTCTACAGTTCTACACGCTGCTCGCCAGCTCCACACTAAACTCTTAGAAAGAAATTGTGCTGTCTAGAACCTAAAAGGGTTCTTCGGCTGTCCCCATAGGAGAACCCTTTGAAGAAGCATTTTTGGTTCAAGGTGGAACCCTTAGGGTTCCAGGTAGAATCCTTTTGCGTTCCAGGTAGAAACCTTTTGGGTTCCAAGTAGAACCCTTTCCACAGAGGGTTCTACAGGCAACCCAAATGGGTTTTACCTAGAAAAGGGTTTTCCTATGGGGACAGCCAAAGAACCCTTTTGGAATCCTTTTTTCTAAGAGTGTATGGATCCAGTCCAAGGTTACATCCCAAATGGCACCCTATTCCTTATGTAGTGCACTACTTTTGAGCAGGGCCCATAGGGAATAGGAAATAGGGTGCCATTTAGGACCGAAGCACTGCCGCAACGTGTTATATTTTACAGCGAACACTGCAGCAGAAGTTAACTCCTTCCTCTGCTACTCTTTCGTCCATGTGAGGCTACAATACCTTGAGTTTCCCTGGGAAGCTGAGAAGCGCTGGGGAAGCTGAGAAGCGCTGGGGAAGCTGTGAAACGCTGGGGAAGCTGTGAAGCGCTGGGGAATTTGTGAAGCGCTGGGGAAGCTGAGAAGCGCTGGGGAAGCTGTGAATCGCTGGGGAAGCTGAGAAGTGCTGGGGAAGCTGTGAAGCGCTGGGGAAGCTGTGAAGCGAGCTGTAGTCTATTGCGTGATTGTGTTTATGAGTCTGTTATTAAATAATGTGAAACAATGTGTATGTTTACTGCTTTTCATTAAATCATGTATCGGTATAAATATTGTATATACATTTATTCCTATGGGCAGAATGTTGTTTAAATAGCCTACAGAAATTAGTTTAGTTTTTGCCTAAAATAAATGTGCTCATATAGGCAGATTATTGTAGCCTATTTAAATTTGTTTATATGGGCAGAATATTGTATATAAATTTGTTAATATGGTTATATAAAGGCTGAAAGCTAAAAACAGCCTATACTATATCTAGGCCTATGTATAGTTTCTGCAATGTGTTTTCGTTGTAAAGAATGTATTTTCTCCCCAAATAGACGCAGGCAAGCCGTGTGTACCACGGTCCACAACTTGGTCGGTTTCTTCCTGGGTTCCAGGCTTCTCTCATTCAGGCCATTCATCACCTTTTGGATCTGAATCCGAGCATTGTCCGGGATATGGTTGTGTTCTCCACATAAATTGGAGATAACTCCGTAAGTGAGGGTTATGCAAACTCGGCATTCGAAAGCATCATATTCTGTGCACTTCCAGAAGGATTTAGGTGTAGCCTTCATGCAAACTAAACTGATTTGAATGTGAGTGTCCAGCCAGGGCAGGGCAGCATTTTACAACATTCCAATGTTACAGTACTGTTTTTATCGAAAATGGGAACAATGGGAGAGATGGATAAAATACTGATTTCAAAATATAATGGACTACATTCTCATTCATATTATTAAGACATGAGGTGAGTATCAAAATAGTTTTAAAAGATGCCCTTGCCTTAAAGTTGAACCTTGATAGATCTTTACTACACTGCTCAAAAAAATAAAGGGAACACTAAAATAACACATCCTAGATCTGAATGAATGAAATAATCTTATGAAATACTTTTTTTCTTTACATAGTTGAATGTGCTGACAACAAAATCACACAAAAATTATAAATGGAAATCAAATGTATCAACCCATGGAGGTCTGGATTTGGAGTCACTCTCAAAATTAAAGTGGAAAACCACACTACAGGCTGATCCAACTTTGATGTAAAGTCCTTAAAACAAGTCAAAATGAGGCTCAGTAGTGTGTGTGGCCTCCATGTCCCTGTATGACCTCCCTACAACGCCTGGGCATGCTTCTGATGAGGTGGCGGATGGTCTCCTGAGGGATCTCCTCCCAGACCTGGACTAAAGCATCCGCCAACTCCTGGACAGTCTGTGGTGCCATGTGGCGTTGGTGGATGGAGCGAGACATGATGTCCCAGATGTGCTCAATTGGATTCAGGTCTGGGGAACGGGCGGGCCAGTCCATAGCATCAATGCCTTCCTCTTGCAGGAACTGCTGACACACTCCAGCCACATGAGGTCTAGCATTGTCTTGCATTAGGAGGAACCCAGGGCCAACCGCACCAGCATATGGTCTCACAAGGGGTCTGAGGATCTCATCTCGGTACCTAATGGCAGTCAGGCTACCTCTGGCGAGCACATGGAGGGCTGTGCGGCCCCCCAAATAAATGCCACCCCACACCATGACTGACCCACCGCCAAACCGGTCATGCTGGAGGATGTTGCAGGCAGCAGAATGTTCTCCACGGCGTCTCCAGACTCTGTCACGTCTGTCATATGTGCTCAGTGTGAACCTGCTTTCATCTGTGAAGAGCACAGGGCGCCAGTGGCGAATTTGCCAATCTTGGTGTTCTCTGGCAAATGCCAAACGTCCTGCACAGTGTTGGGCTGTAAGCACAACCCCCACCTGTGGACGTCGGGCCCTCATACCACCCTCATGGAGTCTGTTTCTGACCGTTTGAGCAGACACATGCACATTTGTGGCCTGCTGGAGGTCATTTTGCAGGGCTCTGCTCCTCCTGCTCCTCCTTGCACAAAGGCGGAGGTAGCAGTCCTGCTGCTGGGTTGTTGCCCTCCTACAGCCTCCTCCACGTCTCCTGATGTACTGGCCTGTCTCCTGGTAGCGCCTCCATGCTCTGGACACTACGCTGACAGACACAGCAAACCTTCTTGCCACAGCTCGCATTGATGTGCCATCCTGGATGAGCTGCACTACCTGAGCCACTTGTGTGGGTTGTAGACTCCGTCTCATGCTACCACTAGAGTGAAAGCACCGCCAGCATTCAAAAGTGACCAAAACATCAGCCAGGAAGCATAGGAACTGAGAAGTGGTCTGTGGTCACCACCTGCAAAACCAGTCCTTTATTGGGGGGTGTCTTGCTAATTGCCTATAATTTCCACCTGTTGTCTATTCCATTTGCACAACAGCATGTGAAATTTATTGTCAATCAGTGTTGCTTCCTAAGTGGACAGTTTGATTTCACAGAAGTGTGATTGACTTGGAGTTACATTGTGTTGTTTAAGTGTTCCCTTTATTTTTTTGAGCAGTGTATACTAGCCTATACAGTCAACTCAAAGTATGGTATTCTATTCTTTTGAAATAGCCTACATGTTCCGTATCATAATGAGACTAAATTACATTTGGATTTTGTGATGTTTTCCTATATTCAATTGACTTATTAGAATGTTAAAATATATGGAAAAGGGTAGACATTTTATATACGATACAAAAATATAAACGCAACATGTAAAGTGTTGGTCCCATGTTTCAGAAAATGTTCTTATGCACAAAAAGCTTATTTCTCTGTGCACAAATTTGTTTACATCCCTGTTTGTGAGCATTTCTTCTTTGTCAAGATAATCCATCCACCTGACAGGTGTGGCATATCAAGAAGCTGATTAAACAGCATAATCATTACACAGGTGTCTGTAATAAAGCCCTTTTTTGGGGAAAATCTCATTCTGATTGGCTAGGCCTGGCTCCCAAGTGGGTGGGCCTATGCCCTCCCAGGCTCACCTATGGCTGCGCCCCTGCCCAGTCATGTGAAATCCATAGATTAAGGCTTAATTTATTTATTTCCATTGATTGATTTCCTTATACGAACTGTAACTCAGTAAAATCGTTGAAATTGTTGCATGTTGCGTTTATATTTTTGCTAAGTATATAAATATTGGATTTCTGTGGTCTGAATTTCATAATAACTTTCGTTTTCAGACGTTTTCCGTTGTTAGGCCTACCCATGTGTCTCTCCTCACTCAGAAAGCCTGCTCACTGATGTCAATACCAAAGCTGATAATTGTGACTTGATTGAATTGGAATGATGTGAATAATGATACTGATGATGATGGTGAGAGCCTAGTATAGCCTAACCCTTTAATCATGGGCTATTGTTACCTTGTGTCTCTAAAATCACAATGTTTCCATTTCTATAGTCATGTGACAAAGAGTTTTTATTTTTATTTGAAACATCCAAATGTTGGCCTTTTTCCGCATTACATTTTTTATTTTCATAACTGATCAAAATTTGGTATGCTATTGTCTATAGATAATATTCTGCCCATATGAACGCATTTATTTTAGGCCATATAAAGAACAACTATGTATTATTTAATGAAAATCAGCAAACAGATGCAACATTGTTTCACATTCTTTAATAATAGACTCAAACAATAGACTAAAAGGCAATAGGTTATAGAGCTGGCTTCACAGTTTCCCCGCCAAATAGGCCTACAAGGAAACTCAAAGTATATCAACAACGTTGAGTGCGCGAGGGAGTCTGTGTGCTGCATAGTACCTTCCACAAAAAGTTTTGCTTGACAAAAAGACAAGTAAACATTTGGGACGCAGCCCAAGACAGACCAATAAAGTCCTCTTAGCTACTGAATCCTGAGCTCTCATGATGGCGTCATTGTGAAAAAGCACAGTGCGTTTCGGCTTTCCCCCCCAATATGATCTGTAGAGGGGACTGAGTATAAAGGGGTGGCTATGGACCCAGTAAAAAACAGATCAGAGTCCAAGAGGAGTAACACACAACACACTCTCAGCATTGTGTCATTGTGAAAAAGCACAGTGCGTTTCAGCTTTCCTCTGTCTGGGCAGTTATTCGGAAGCTGAGACTGAAAATCATCACCCTGGTCTCTTCCCACCTGATATGTTCTGCTCTGCTGGACTAGAGATTTGTCAATGTGACTGAAGACACTATGCAAGAGCCTACTCTCCCTGAGCCTACTCTCCCTGAGCCTACTCTCCCTGAGCCTACTCTCCCTGACCTACTCCCTGAGACCTCTGAGCCTCGCGTTAGCCTAGAGCTACCTCCCTGATACCTCCCTGAGCTACTCTCCTGACCACTCTCCGGTACTTCCTGAGCTATCTCCTGAGCCTCATCCTGAGCTACTCACCCTGAACTCTCCGAGCCTACCTCCTGAGCCTACTCTCCCTGAATAGAAGTCTGAGGTTAGAGGCAAGATCACAGAGAGCACAAGTCAAGGGGGCTGCAGGAGATAGAGGAGAGAGAGAGGAGAGAGAGAGAGAGAGAGAGAGAGAGAGAGATAGCGAGAGAGGAAGAGAAGAGAGAGAGGAGAGAGATGAGAGAGAGAAGCGAAGATCGCGAGAGAAGAGAAGAGAGAGAGAGAGAGAGAGAGATAGCAGAGAAGAGAGTCGAGAGAGAGAGAGAGAGAAAGGCCTGTGGTGTTGATGGTATCCTCAATGAAATGATAAAATATACAGACCACAAATTTCAATTGGCTATACTTAAACTCTTGAATATAATCCTTAGCTCTGGCATCTTCCCCAATATTTGGAACCAAGGACTGATCACCCCAATCCATGAAAGTGGAGACAAATTTGACCCCAATAACTACATTTTACATTACAGATCCAGAGCGACTTACAGTTAGTGAGTGCATACATTTTCATACTGGCCCCCCATGGGAATCGAACCCACAACCCTGGTGTTGCAAACGCCATGCTCTACCAACTGAGCTACACGGGACCACAAACAAATGCCATTGCTTTTTACCCGCCGCAAACTACACATACCGGGCGCCTTCGCCACCTTAATAGAATCCCCTCATTCAGGGAAACCATCTTACATTTTAGTCATTTAGCAGACGCTCTTATCCAGAGCGACTTACAGTTTGTGAGTGCATACATTTTCATACTGGCCCCCCCGTGGGAAACGACCCCACAACCCTGGCATTGCAAGCGCCATGCTCTACCAACTGAGCTACAGGGGGTGTCAATACTGTGGGATATGCGTCAACAGCAACCTTGGGAAAATCCTCTGCATTATCATTAACAGCAGACTCGTACATTTCCTCAGTGAAAACAATGTACTGAGCAAATGTCAAATTGGCTTTTTACCAAATTACCGTACGACAGACCACGTATTCACCCTGCACACCCTAATTGATAAACAAACAAAACAAAACAAAGGCAAAGTCTTCTTATGCTTTGTTGATTTCAAAAAAGCTTTTGACTCAATTTGGCATGAGGGTCTGCTATACAAATTGATGGAAAGTGGTGTTGGGGAAAACACAAGACATTATAAAATCCATGTACACAAACAACAAGTGTGCGGTTAAAATTGGCAAAAAACCCACACATTTCTTTCCACAGGGCCGGGGGGTGAGACAGGGATGTAGCTTAAGCCCCACCCTCTTCAACATATATATCAATGAATTGGCGAGGGCACTAGAACAGCCTGCAGCACCTCGCCTCACCCTACTAGAATCTGAAGTCAAATGTCTTCTGTTTGCTGATGATCTGGTGCTTCAGTCCCCAACCAAGGAGGGCCTATAGCAGCACCTAGATCTTCTGCACAGATTCTGTCAGACCTGGGCCCTGACAGTAAATCTTAGTAAATCAAAAATAATGGTGTTCCAAAAAAGGTCCAGTTGCCACGAACACAAATACAAATTCCATCTAGACACCGTTGCCCTAGAGCACACAAAAAAACTATACATACCTCGGCCTTAACATCAGCGCCACAGGTAACTTCCACAAAGCTGTGAACAATCTGAGAGACAAGGCAAGAAGGGCCTTCTATGCCATCAAAAGGAACATAAAATTCGACATACCAATTAGGATCTGGCTAAAAATACTTGAATCAGTTATAGAACCCATTGCCCTTTATGGTTGTGAGGTCTGGGGTCCGCTCACCAACCAAAAATTCACAAAATGGGACAAACACCAAATTGAGACTCTGCATGCAGAATTCTGCAAATATATCCTTCGTGTACAATGTAAAACACCAAATAATGCATGCTGAGCATAATTAGGCCGATACCCACTAATTATCAAAATCCAGAAAAGAGCCATTAAATTCTACAACCACCTAAAAGGATGTGATTCCCAAACCTTCCATAACAAAGCCATCACCTACAGAGAGACAAACCCCTAAGCAAGCTGGTCCTGGGGCTCTGTTCACAAACACAAACAGAGCCCACAGAGCCCCAGGACAGCAACACAATTAGACCCAACCAAATCATGAGAAAATAAAAACATAATTACTTAACACATTGGAAATTATTAACCAAAAAGAACGAGCAATCTGGAGCACACAGCGCACACAGTGGCAGAATACCTGGCCAGAATATCTGACCACTGTGACTGACCCAAAATTAAGTAAACGTTTGACTATGTACAGACTCAGTAAACATAGCCTTGCTATTGAGAGAGGTCGCCGTAGGCAGACCTGGCTCTCAAGAGAAAACAGGCTATGTGCACAATGCCCACAAAATGAGGTGAAAACTGAGTTTAGATTACAGACCCACAAATAATTTGAAAACAAATCCAATTTTGATATCTCCCATATCTATTAGGTGAAATACCAGTGTGCCATCACAGCAGCAAGATTTGTGACCTGTTGCCACAAGAAAAGGACAACCAATGAAGCACAAACACCATTGTAAATACAACCCATATTATTTATTTTCCCTTTTTGTACTTTAAATATTTGTCCATCGTTACAACACAGTACATAGACATTATATGACATTTGAAATGTCTCTATTCCTTTGGAGCTTTTGTGAGTGTAATATTTACTGTACATTTCTGATTGTTTATTTCACTTTTGTTTATCATCTATTTCACTTGGTTTGGCAATGTAAACATATGTTTCCCATGCCAATAAAGCCCCTTGAATTGAATTGAAATTGAGAGAGAGAGAGAGAGAGAGAGAGATAGAGAGAGGAGGAAGAGTGTGTATTAGGGATGCACGATATATCGGTAAGCATATCGGAATCGGACGATATTAGCTAAAAATGTCAACATCGACATTGGCTCTATGTATAGTTTAACGCCGATGTGCAAAACCGATGTCAAAGCTGACGTGCATACCTGTATAACGTAGGTAGATGACGTAATGACGCCACGAAAAATACAGCGCTACACGTGCAACACAGCATTCCTAACCTAGCCCACAATGTCTGCTGTGTGCATCTATTCTGAAGTTTCAAAGGAAGATAACAGAAAGGCCATATGCAACGTTCGTGCTGCTATTATTTCCCAAGGAGGGGAGAAAGTGATATCTTTCAATACCACAAACCTAATTACTCATTTGAAAGTGCATCACCCCCAGACATTCAGCGACTACTTAGAACAAAAGCAGAAAAAAAGTCGAGCAGTCATTTGAAAGAGTAAGAAAATTTCAGCGTGACGACTCAAAGGCCAAATCCATTAACGCCAAGATAATGGAATTCATTGCCCTTGACATTCTACCGTTCTCTGTCGTGGATGATGTTGGCTTTCGCCGACTGGCCGAGCACCTCGAGCCCCGGTACACACTACCAACTAGGCGCTATTTTTAAAACGCACATCCATGAGCTACTTGCTATGGGCATCACTGCTATTAGCTTCACGACTGACATTTGGACCAGCGATGTCAGCCCCATGAGCATGCTGAGTCTGACAGCACAGTGGGTCGTACTGAGGAAAGCCGTATTGCATGCTCAAGAATGTGCTGGTTCTCATACCGCTGCTGCCATTTCAAAGGCATTTGAGAACATGTTTGAAACTTGGAAAATCCCCAACAACAAAGTACACGCTGTGCTACGTGATAATGCACGTAACATGACAAAAGGCTTTGGAAGAATGCGGAGTCGCCAGTTTGCCATGCATGGCACACACGCTGCAACTGGCTATGAACGAAGGTGTTTTGGCCCAACGTAGCATATCTGACACAGTGGCAACAGGTAGGAAGATAGTGGGTCATTTTGAACACTCACAGCTAGCATACAGCCGCCTGCAAGCAATACAGGAGCAGCTTGGAGTGAAAATGAAAAGGCTTAAGCAAGACGTTTCCACCAGATGGAACAGTACTTTTTACATGATGGAGAGCCTGCTGGAACAAAAACGAGTGGTTGGCGTGTACGCAGCCGACTATGAGTTACCTGCAACAATCAGTACAAACCAGTGGACTCTCATTGAAAACGTGAACACACTCCTAGCTCCATTCGAAAAACTGGCTCGAGAAATAAGCTCATCAACTACGTCTGCAGCAGACGTGATACCCTCTGTCATGGCATTGAAACGCCTGCTCAACAAAACTGCCGACACAGACCGTGGGGTTAAAACTTGCAAAAGTACTCTACTAGAGGCTGAACAAGTGACTCGGTGGCATTCTCTCTGAGCCTCTTTACTGTGTTGCCACCACGCTCGATGCTAGGTACAAGCACCTTCGATGCAGACAAGAAACAGGGTTTACGTGAAATGTTACAGACACAGCTGGACAAGATGGAAACGGACACAGTGACAGTGTCACAGAGAGAGAGGAACCACGACAGAAGAGGCCACGGACAGACAGAGCTGAAACTTCACTGCTTGACATGTATGATGAAAAATCCTGGTTGAGAATGGAATGACTGAATAAATGAACAGCACAGCAAGTAAGTGAAATAAATAGGTTTTGATGATGTTTTACTGGTAATGGGGTCATACGTAAATGCCAACAAAATAACTTTTTGGTCAGTGTGTGTGTGTGTGTGTGTGTGTGTGTGTGTATGTATCTATGTGAGAGAGAGACGCGTTGTATTTTCATTTTGCCAATGTTGATCTATGCCAAATGATCATTTGGAATGCAAGAATAATGCAATATGTTGTATTAAATGTACTAAACCCCCCACCCCCCTTTTCCATTATTTGCAGATACTAGCATACCTGACAGAACCTACTATTCCCAGGAATGAAGATGCACTTGGATACTGGAGAAGTAACAAGCACCGTTTCCCCAAAATATTTGTGTCATGAATATTTGTTGTGCGATAAAATACCATGGATTTGTCATTTTTCTCATTTACAACTTATTAAACAATCTGTTCCTAAATGAACAAATGAACATATGACACTTTGTTTAAACTATTTAACTGTACTAAAATGCTTAAAAGACAGCTAAAAGTTTAAATATCGGTTATCGGTATCGGGTGTTTTGGCAAGGAAAATATTGGATATCGGTATCGGCCAAAAATGTAATATAGGTGCATCCCTAGTGTGTATCTGTGAAAGAGAGAGAGCAGGGTAAGTGAAGAAAGAGGGGCAGAGATGAGAGAAAACAATTACCAGAGAAGGAGAGAGAGAGCAAGGCAGCTGTGAAAAATATTACGGTGACTGCTGGACTGGAGATCTTTAGAACAGCTGGAGGATCACTCAAGTTCAACAGAATGTCCTTTAAGGGGTTGGAGTCCAACACTCTGACCCCAGAGGTTGGCTGTGTTACATGGTCCCTACTGAAGTCCTCTGCAGAGGGGTTAGGCAGCACACAGGGTTTGAAAAATGCCTTATAACCTTTGACCTTAGGGTCTTAGTTCCTGGCTACTGTTTCTCTTTTGACCCCGGGAGTTCAGAGGGGGTTTGCTTGCTGCAGTGAGTGAAAATTAGCATAGCAGGTCACAAGTTATAGCAGGAGTTCTAACTTCATCAGCCATTGGAGAGTGGCTCAGTCAGACATGTTACCAAGGCAACACAACCACAAAACAAAGATGGCCGCTCCACCACATCTCTGCTGTGATGTCACTACATCCTGTTGAGAGTTTCATAGAGAAGTGAATGATTTCATATCCTATACTCAAAGACATTTTCAGATAAATAAACCCCACCTCAAAAACATGCATACGTTAGGCCTAGGCTAAATCATGTGAGTCAGTCCAGGACAAAGCAAGTCAGCCAAGGAGAAGAAACTAGGAAAAGTCAATCATTATTCATTCTAACAATAGTGCAAGGCTCAGCAGAAGCAACAGTAAGAATTCACTGAAAATGGTAGGCTAATATAGGAACACAGGAGGCTGGTGGCAACTGAATTGGGGAGGACGGGCTCGGAGCGGAATGAGTGGAATGGTATCAAATACATCAAACACATGGTTTCTAAGTGTTTGATGCCATTCCAATTTCCCCGTTCCAGCCATTATTATAAGCCGTCCTCCACTCAGCAGCCTCCACTGTATAGGACATAGGATAAGCCTTGCTTGAATACAATGTAATCTTCTCTATGTTATGGTAATAGACTCTTGGGCCTAAGGGCAGATTCATGCAGCCCATATTGTAGTAGAGCTCTATCCATGTTAGAGGAGACTGTTCTGCAGTGACCACTGACCAGTGGCCAAGGACATAGGAAAAAGACTCAAGGGAGAGAGAGACTCAGTCAGCCAACATGTTAGAGAACCACCAGGTCCCTCTCTAGGACTCTCGCTCACACACCCTGCCACAGTTCAGTGCACAGCTGTAAGTGTGTCCCACCTGGCACTCCTCCATAATTCCATTAAAGGCAGAGGGTCTTTGTACAGCTTTCCAGGGTGTTAGGGAGTGAGGGGAGAGGACATGCTCTACTTTAGATCAACTACTTCCCTTTCAGCTGGTGCACAGTGATTCTCCCTCTCTTTCTCACTCCTCCCCTCCCCCAGTCATTGTTCTGTCTCACACACACACACACGCACACGCATGTGTATTCATATACATGGTAAACAACATAGTCGCTGGGCCTCACAATCAGCTAGGTAGGCCCTGCTGCCTGCTCAATTCATTACTTCTAGCAGCTCAGAGGAGAGCAGCAGCTTCCTGTCATGTGCAACAGGCTGGGCAGCAGTGGAACCACAGAACCAGAAGATACAGTTCCATTGCGACACAGATCGTGTTACAGAGTGACAGAGAGAGAGAGAGAGAGAGAGAGAGAGAGAGCGAGAGAGAGAGAGAGAGAGAGAGAGAGAGAGAGAGAGAGAGAGAGAGAGAGAGAGAGGGGAGATATAGAGAGAAGGGGGAGAGAGAGAGAGAGAGAGAGGGGGAGAGAGAGAGAGGGGAAAGATAGAGAGAGAAGGGGGAGAGAGAGAGAGAGATTGAGTTCTGGCTCAGCTCCTTTAGAGAGGAACAGCCTGGGAGGGAAAGAAACAGAAAGAGAGAAGAAGAAACACAGAGGAACAAAGGAAGAAGAAGGGGTTAGCTCTGGTTGGGGCGTAGCCGCCTGCCCGCTACATTCGCCCATACAGTTGAAGTCGGAAGTTTACATACACTTAGGTTGGAGTCATTAAAACTTGTTTTTCAACCACTCCACACATTTCTTGTTAACAAACTATAGTTTTGGCAAGTCGGTTAGGACATCTACTTTGTCCACGACACAAGTAATTTTTCCAACAATTGTTTACAGACAGATTATTTCACTTATAATTCACTGTATCACAATTCCAGTGGGTCAGAAGTTTACATACACTAAGTTGACTGTGACTTTAAACAGCTTGGAAAATTCCAGAAAATGATGTCATGGCTTTAGAAGCTTCTGATAGGCTAATTGACATCATTTGAGTCAATTGGAGGTGTACCTGTGGATGTATTTCAAGGCCTACCTTCAAACGCAGTGCCTCTTTGCTTGACATCATGGGAAAATCAAAAGAAATCAGCCAAAACCTCAGAAAAAAATGTGTAGACCTCCACAAGTCTGGTTCATCCTTGGGAGCAATTTCCAAACGCCTGAAGGTACCACGTTCATCTGTACAAACAATAGTACGCAAGTATAAACACCATGGGAACACCCAGCCGTCAAACCGCTCAGGAAAGAGACGCGTTCTGTCTCCTAGAGATTAACGTACTTTGGTGCGAAAAGTGCAAATCAATCCCAGAACAACAGCAAAGGACCTTGTGAAGATGCTGGAGGAAACCGGTACAAAAGTATCTATATCCACAGTAAAACGATTCCTATATCGACATAACCTGAAAGGCCGCTCAGCAAGGAAGAAGCCACTGCTCCAAAACCGCCATAAAAAAAGCCAGACTACGGTTTGCAACTGCACATGGGGACAAAGATCGTACTTTTGGAGAAATGACCTCTGGTCTGATGAAACAAAAATATAACTGTTTGGCCATAATGACCATTGTTATGTTTGGAGGAAAAAAGGGGGTGCTTGCAAGCCGAAGAACACCATCCCAACCGTGAAGCACGGGGGTGGCAGTATCATGCTGTGGGGGTGCTTTGCTGCAGGAGGGACTGGTGCACTTCACAAAATAGATGCCATCATGAGGAAGGAAAATTATGTGGATATATTGAAGCAACATCTCAAGACATCAGTCAGGAAGTTAAAGCTTGGTCGCAAATGGGTCTTCCAAATGGACAATGACCCCAAGCATACTTCCAAAGTTGTGGCAAAATGGCGTAAGAACAACAAAGTCAGGTACTGGAGTGGCCATCACAAAGCCCTGACCTCAATCCTATAGAAAATGTGTGGGCAGAACTGAAAAAGCGTGTGCAAGCAAGGAGGCCTACAAACCTGACTCAGTTACTTCGGCTCTGTCAGGAGGAATGGGCCAAAATTCACCCAACTTATTGTGGGAAGCTTGTGGAAGGCTACCCGAAACGTTTGACCCAAGTTAAACAATTGAAAGGCAATGCTACCAAATACTAATTGAGTGTATGTAAACTTCTGACCCACTGGGAATGTGATGAAAGAAATAAAAGCTGAAATAAATCATTCTCTCTACTATTATTTTGACATTTCACATTCTTAAAATAAAGTGGTGATCCTAACTGACCTAAAACAGGGAATTTTTACTAGGATTAAATGTCAGGAATTGTGAAAAACTGAGTTTAAATGAATTTGGTTAAGGTGTATGTAAACTTCCGACTTCAACTATATATAGTCACTTTCTCATCTCTTTATGGGACTTTACGTCACATTGCTTTTTCAACTCAGCTATCAATCTGGCCCCGGACACTCCAAACACCATCACTGGCTTTGGCTATAATGTTAGCGAGATAAGTACTTTTCCAGATTTCTGTGTGTCTTATACAGTTCAGTGGAAAGACAGGAGAAGTCTATCTCTAGCAGATGGGCTTTACTACTGGCCGTTTATGTGTGTGTGTATACACACGCACGCAAACACACACAAACACACACAACACACACACATATGCATCCACAGTTCCAGTGTCCTTCCCCCTGACCCCAGTAAGTGCTTTAGTCTGTGTGTTTACTGTGAACACAGACTCCCCATTTCCCACAACCCTTGACCTGACCTGAATTTAGTAAATACACAATCTTATATGTATATCTTTCATCTAGACTAGATCAAAACAACACCTCTTGAGACTCTTCAGGAGCTTCCTTTTGATCTAAGAGACCCTAGTCACTTATAGTAGGTTCCTTTCAGCTAACATTCAAAACGTCTCAATGTCTTATGAGCTGAAAGGACTGCAAGTGAAACTGGTGGGCCTCAGTAATATGCCGTTATTACTAGGCTAAGACTTTTAATTGAGCTTTCAGATCACAGAGAACTGGCCTCAGAACAAAGGAAATACCCAGCCCTCCAATTGAATGTAGGAAAGGTCATTTCTAGACACACCAACTGGGAGATACAGGAATATGGAAAGAGCAGAAAACGTTTAATTCCAGGAAGGAGAAGAAGACAGCAGCCCCATTGACATAAGTGACACACACACACGCACACACACACACACACACACACACACACACACACACACACACACACACACACACACACACACACAACACACACACACAGGAAGCATAGTTGGAGCATGCCTCCAGGGAATCCCCATGTGAGAATGCCAGCTCTGCGACCTCCACAAAAAAGCGCTTGTTCTCCATTACCACGGCGACCATTACCCTGAGGATCATCTGCTCAACCAGACACAACACACTTCGGAACCTGTGTTGCCTAGCACACGTCAGGCAGCGTCAAACCTCATCACAAGATTACTAGGCCTGTTGACCACTCCCTCACTTGACTGGAGATGTTTGCAAACAAAAAGATCTGGGCTAAGAGGTCTGCAAAAGTCCACTGAATATTTTCTTGGCTGGGATTTGCATTGGTTGTATCATATGAGAAAGAGAGAGAGGTCTGGTGAATCAGATGACATTGACAGTGTGGGAGAGTTTACAGTGGAGAAACATCATGATAGCAGTCATGAGGTCAGACACTCCTAGAGGTTGTACACACACACACACACACACACAGTCTTGCGCAGCTAACCTTGTGGGGACATACAATTCAGTCCCATTCAAAACCCTATTTTCCCGTAACCCCTAACCCCAAACCTAACCCTAACCCATACCCTTACCCTAATCTTAACCTTAACCCAAAAACCTAACCTTAACCCTAACCCTAAATCTAACCCTAGCTCCTAACCCTAAAACTAACCCTAATACTAACCCTAACAATAATTCTAACCTTAACCCTAAACCCCCTAGAAATAGCATTTGACCTTGTGGGGACCAACAAAATGTCCCCAGTTGGTCAAATGTTTCTTGGTTTACTATTCTTGTGGGAACTTCTGGTCCTCACAAGTATAGTTAAACAAGTTCACACACATACACACACACACACACCAAAGAGAACCCAAAGGAGCCCTGTGTGAGTGATTAAATCTCAGTGCCTCATCAGCATTATATGCAATTTATCTCTAGCCATACCCTGCATCATCACACGGTTTCAGGCCAATACTACACACAGTCCAACTGTAGCACAAAACCCAACCAGTGCTCAAATCATGATCCATGATACATCACTTACTATTATCCTTTCAACAAAGAAAGAGGACATGCTTCTAACTAGATTGAACTGTTACTGTAGGCACAGCTATAATCAAAGACCACCAGGATCCATAGTGATACTTTACATGCCTGGGCCATCAAATATTCAGTACTGGGAAAAGGAAGGACCAGAAAAAGGACCAGACTACAGGACAGGGAAAAGGGATAGCTTGGGAAACCATGCAGTCTAGCTGCCCATTCAACCTCAGAACTGGCACTGCTCAATCCTCAAGCGCACAAAAGCCGCCGCTGGAGCTGAAGCCAAGAGAAATGGAATACCATGTGTTCTCTCTTCTGCTCTGCCTGAACAATGTCACACCACTAGCCGCAGGAAAAAGACACACATACTGCAAATACGATACTACCTTTATATGGACATCATCCTGTTTCATTATGGTCATTTTCTGCCAACCGTCACTGCTTAATTACAAACTAATTACGACGTCATACGCAAGTTTACATTTAAAGAGGTAGCTAGTAGCCTAATCAAATGTAGCAAGCTCTGCTCAGTGGGTGACGTATAGGAAACGGTGAGACGCTGACACGCGTCTTCGATAAAACTAGAATAAAATTGTCCTTCGATATTCAGACATTCAAGTAACGTTATGAACTAAAAGTACACAGGCTTTTCTGGATGAAACAGAATAAACGGACCGGAGCCTCGGGCTATGGTTTCGTGAGCGGGTTTGGACAGCAAGGTAAATTAGGCTACCGTTAGCTAGCTAAAGAAGAGATTATTAGCCATCATCATACTAACCACAATCACCGATGTCCTCACAGCCTCCGACACACTTTGCCTGAGTTCCGCCGCCGTTCCTGGTTTACTCAACCTTTTGGTAAATTTCCGTACCTCCGACATAGCTATATTTCTCGTGAAAACCACCACCTAAATCCGGGTATAACTGAGGGCATGCCACGGAGCTCAAGCAGCTGCAGACAGTTGTGAAAGATGCGGATGGACCAGGCAGGCAGCGGTGGCGTAGTGAGGCGGGGCTGTTGCTAGTGAGGAGGACTGAACAGGATTGTCGAGCATCTCGCGCGCCTCCTGCCTGTGCCATCTCATTCGATAGGGGAACAGGTACACACCTCAAATACCTGACCAACCACTGTTAAAAATAGTAACCTACAAATTGCATGAACACCTGTACTAATATTCCTGGGATAAATTCATAGAACAGTTTATTTATTTATGTGTTGGTCTACTATGAATCGGAGATTATCAGTATTTTGGGTAGATTGCAGGTGTGAATTCTTATTAGATGGGTTGGTTGTTAAGCAACACAACCGAGGCATACTCAACTCTGGGGCAAAACAGATGGAGTTGGTTTAGGTTGTTGACAACATGTAAACTATATTTCGTCTCCAATGTTTATTGAAAACATAAATAATTGTGCACAATGAGCACTTGTTGTCTCTCAAATACATCCTTACAGTAGTTGGTTAGCTAGCTAGTACATTTGTTCCATATTTGACATGAAATAAGTCAAAACACCTCAAAACAAGACATGGTATCAAGTACAAGATGCAACTAACTGCAATGAGCCACTTACGATTCCCCACATGGCAGTTTCTTGTCATTGTTGCTATCTTTCCATCCAGAATCACAACAACACAAGGACCGCTGCCTCATTAAAGCGTGCGCATCATTTTCGTGACGTTGTCAGCGAATCATCAATAACTATCCATATCATAGGTGAAATATGATAGAATGCCGCACTCTAGTGGACAAGGATGAGAACCACAGCAGGTCATCAAGTTCAAATTCTGTAGGGATTTAAACAATTTCTATTTTCTCTTTCAGACCCCCAAATTATAAATAGAAAAGTTACATTGATTTGCACTCATAAATTAACAAATAATAGTTAATGTTTATATGTAACCTAATGATGATGATAATGATGATGATGCAACTGTCATAAGGGGCCAACAAACCACATGCCTTACTCTACAGTAATCAGATTAGATTCCGGAACACAGGGCCTGTTGTTCTGAGTTCTGAGTTAGCCTGTGTCAGATTAGCCACCATTAAAGTCAAGGCAACCAATACACAAACAGTTAGTTTCTGGATAACATTATTCAGAGAAGTTTGTGAGCCACAACCAAATTCTGATTCCATTAAGCCTTGTCATCATCCATCTATTTATATCTCTGGGCTGACTTTACTAGAGATTTACTAGGGGTATAGTAGGTTCCTACCCACCCAAACCATGTATTTGCAAAAGAAAAGTGCACTATACAGCCACCGGGCAACAAGCAGTAAAGGGTGGGTAAGTGATGAGATCTTACAGACTGTACACTGTTCGAGAGGTCATGGGTATTCTCCCTATTTGTTCGATCTAGGCACACTTTTAGATAGGGTTTACTCATCTTATGGCATATCTACAAATGTGTTTATTTGCCACATAGGGGCCTAGGATGAAAACCAAGAGCATGCTGGATATGCAGCTTTTATGCTATGGTGGGTAAATTCCCATTGAGGGTTAGTTGAACCTGTACTATGTGGTCCTCTGTAGCTCAATTGGTAGAGCATGGCACTTGTAACGCCAGGGTAGTGGGTTCGATCCCCGGGACCACCCATACGTAAAAATGTATGTGCACATGACTGTAAGTCGCTTTGGATAAAAGCGTCTGCTAAATGGCAGATTATTATTATTATTGAACCTCTGCTGGACACAGTAGTACCTGAGGGACTGGCTCTAGAGAAGTGGAATGAGACCCTTCTCTGTTTCCTGTCCAAACCTCAAAAGAAAAATGATTTCAGTAAAAGTTTCATTTCTCAAAAAAAAAGAAGCAGCCGTATCAAGCCAATATTTGACTGGGCAGGATCCAGTAACTCTGACTTACTTTACAATGTCTTCTTTAAAAGTTTTTTTCCGGGCTGTTCAAACTGTGCTAAGCCAGAGGACACATTTCTTAGATTGTAGTCAGCCAATAAAATCTCTCATTTCAGTGTTCCCTCCTACTGTGTGACGGCTACATGTAAAGTGTCATCATATATAAGGTGCCCCACTGTCAGACCCACACACTATACAGTGCAGAAGGGACTGATGTAAAAATGATGGTCAGACACTTATTTTTGTTTTACATCAACTTGGGTAAGTGTAAGACATTTTAATTGAGTTCCTTTTTTAATCATTTTTTGTAGTATGTAGTTTGAATATGATAAGTGAAGTGGATGTTCTTTCTGTAATGGGTAGAAATGGTTTATCCATGTCTTTGTCTTTGATCCATTTTGTTTGCTTTGACAGTTTGTGCTTTTACCAAACCAAACGTAATCCAACCAGACCCTGTGATGGTTACTGAGCTGGGAGGCACTGTGACTCTCACTTGCTTTTGTCCCAACGTGTCTGTGACCAGGTTTGATTGGTTCAAGCAGAGTTTTGGACAGAAACCCCTCCGCATGGCATCATCTCTTTATGTGGGCCAAGACAGTTATTATTCCAACAACTTTATCAAGGACTTTCCTGAGACCAAACGTTTGGGTGTGAGGAGAGGAGACTACAGCTGTAACTTGACCATATCCAAGACAGAGCCAGGGGACTCAGCTAAATACTATTGTTCCATTACAGCCATCTATGAGCAAACATTTGGAGAGGGAACTGTTTTAATTGTCAAAGGTAACTAAACATTTGCTTCTTCAATTTAAAGTTTTCAGTGGTGTAAAGTACTTAAGTATAAATACTTTAAAGTACTACTTAAGTAGTTTTTTAGGGTATCTGTACTTTACTTTACTATTTATATTTTTGACAACTTTGACATTTGCTCCACTACATTCCTAAAGAAAATATCTACTTTTTACTCCCATAAATCTTCCCAGACACCCAAAAGTACTTGTTACATTTCGATAGCTCAGGCAGGACAGCAATATGGTCCAATTCATGCACATACATGTATCAATATAACACTTTGTCATCCCTACTGCCTCTGATCTGGCGGACTCACTACTGAGTTTGTAAATTATGTCTGAGTGTTGGAGTGTTGGAGTGTGCCGTCTAGTTTGCTTAATATAAGGAATTTGATGTATAGCATTTACTTGACAGTTGAGTACTTTTTCCCTCACTGTACTTAAGTACGTTTAAAACCAGATACTTTTAGACTCTCAAGTACTCAAGTAGTATTTTACTATGTGACTTTCAATTTTACTTGAGACATTTTCTATTAAGGTATCTTTACTTTTACTCAAGTATGACAATTGAATAATTTTTGACCATTGCATATTTTGTGGCCCTGTATGTTGATATGTTCGTACAACTGGTTCATCAAATGCTAGTAATGAATACATGGCTTTTCATGTGTTTCACCCACTTAGTCTTAATTTAGTTACTCACTCTCTTCAGGTTCAGAGTCCAACAGCATGTCTGTGCTCCAGCAGCCTGTGTCTGAGTCAGTCCAGCCAGGAGACTCTGTGACTCTGAACTGTACAATACACACTGAGACCTGTGCAGGAGAACACAGTGTCTATTGGTTCAGACATGGCTCAGGAGAATCCCGTCCAGGAATCATTTACACCCATGGAAACAGTATTGATCAGTGTGAGAAGAGTCCTGAGACTGGGTCTCCTACACAGAGCTGTGTCTACAACCTCCCCAAGAGGAACCTCAGCCTCTCTGATTCTGGGACTTACTACTGTGCTGTGGCCTCATGTGGGGAGATACTGTTTGGGAACGGGACCATGCTGGACATTCATGGTAAATCCGATTTAATCTGTAAATTGCCACAACAATACTGTATATTCATGCAAACGGCCTACCTCAAAACAACCCCATACATTTGTCTCAAAAAGCTACACAATATCACTGTTAGCTTTTGATGCCATATTTTACTGTTTGATGATCTTCCTAACCACTCATGAATACAATATGAATTCCTTGATACCCTTTCCACAGTTCCAGAGCATGATCCTCCATTTGATCTGAGTCCAACTGTTCTGGCCTTGGTCGTCTCCAACATCGTCCTGGGGATTGTGACCCTTGTACTTGTCTGGGTGCTGTGCAAGACTCGTAACAGAGATAGCAGAGGTATTACTGTATATCTAATGTATCCAATGTATCTAATGTTATAGCTGATGTATCTAATGTTTCATGCATCTCTATGCAATGTACCTTCTGTAAATATCATTTAAATAACCAACGTATAAGCATTGTTAATTAACTACATGAGGTTAAAAAGAGATAGATTGTCATAAAAAATAATAGCTGGCCTTCCTCTATTTCAATCTCTTTGAAGGGAGGACAGATGTCCCAACATCCCAGGGTAATCAGGTACATTTGTCAACATTTATAAATACAGTATATTTTCCGTTTTTATAAGAAACTGCCATTTAATTTTCCTTACAGCTAATATTCAGCTTATTTGTGCTTTTTATGTTATGAAGCTTTATTGGAGGCAATAAGTCACTCTACTAGATGTAGCCTTCTGATCTTTGTGATCGTTGTTAATTTTTCCATGGAACTTCTGCCTGTCACTGTTCCACTGACTGTCAGGTCATTGTAGTGGGTGTACAGTCTGAACAGTCCTGTCTTTTGTAGAGTGTTTTCTTCTACAGGAGAATAGAAACATTATATAGTAGATCATGATATCATCATAATGTATTTTCTCATGGCTCCACCACCCTCAGAATCAAGACAGTGATGTGTTGAACTATGCAGCTGTGAGTTTCACCCCCAAGAAGAACTCCTCCTCCTCTACAAGAGCAAGAGAGAAGACCAGCAGAGAGGATGCAGTGTACTCTGAGGTCAGGCACCTGCAGCAGCAGTGAAAGGTATCACCACTGTCACAAAGACTCCAAGAAAAACCATTTAACTATTTGTAGCCTAATGAAACTGCTTTTATTAACTGAAATTAGTATCCAATTTTCAAAGTAACAATGAAAATGTATTTTTAACATTGTCTGTATGTTAGATTTATATAATGATCCTGTAATGTCTTAAATAGCCATCACTTTTACAGCTTTTTATTGTAAGAAATCATCTGATAGAGAATTCCATTTTTGCTGTATGACTGTGTGTTTTTAACATAATAAACCATTAATTGATACACTCCGTACATCTCTATTCTCTGTCTACAGTACATCTCTGCTACCACATATACAAATATACAGTATCATTAAAGGGAGTAGCAGTTTAGCTGAATATGTGTCAGGCTCCATCACACCATTAGAAATGGAGGAACACCAACACACATCTATTTCTTATCACAGAAGAGGTGCTTTTTATTTAACCAAGTGTAGAGTTGCTGAGATACAAATACATTTTTCAGGAGAGACAATGAGAATCTCTCTGACTCCACATACCGCAAATGTATATGATTTACAATAAATGCTCTCTTTGTAAGAAGTGCAGTGTCGGTTTACACACCTACCAGGCAGTAGCGGTGCATGGATAAAATCACTGGGGAAGCCAAGCCCCCCCCCCCCCCTCCCCCCAAAAAGCCATATTACAACCTATGTGTTGTGATAATTGCGTTGTTTGCTCTATAACCTGTTAATTCATATGCCTTGCGATCGTGATATATATGCCTAAGGCCGATACAATAAGAAGACACAGTGGCAGAATAAATTCAACCACACCTTTGTTTTGTCACATAACAGGATAGCAACCTCTGTTCGGTGAAGTCCACTACGCATATTGCATGTAACAGACAGCATGGTTAAGCAAGTTAATGTTTCTGACATTTTCGGACTACTAAACAATTATTGATTTAGAACCACAGAGAGTTACCGCAAGTCGCAAAGAAAACAGGAGCTACCTCCACTATTCCAGCACCATTTCAACTTCAACATTTCAACATCATCAAGTCACCTCTGCTTAGTCTAATACAGTGACAACTAAAAAGATACCAAAAACAATTTAGTCCAATCAACGTAAGCTAAATATGATGTGGCTGTCCATGGTTCTGATTTCTGTGTGTGCGTGTGTGTGTGAGTGCGTGTTCGTGCAAGTAGAAAAACATGTTGACTAACCTTATGCCAATGCCATCCTCCTCTCTTTCATGTTGACAAAACGGTCTATCACTCTGTCATACAGTACACGCTTTTATTTTTTGTTGTCCTAGGCTACCTGGCTAAAATGCTTGCTCGTTAGCCTAACTTCCATTCATGGGCAACATTAGCTAATTAACATTAGCCTTCTACATCTAGTTACATATTGAACTTCCATCCTCTCAGGCCAGGGGCACAATGTATGAATTTATGGTTGGATCAGAATCTCTGTTATAATCATTGGCCAGTATGGAGAATTAAGTAAAACCACAAGTCCAAATCCCTATCTCCATCGATGGCTAATTTAGAAAAGGGCCAATTTTAACTAGCTGGCTAGCTAGCCACCGGAGGACAACAACACAACGAGATGCAACAATTCAAGTTTTTCTGTCAATGACATATGCTCTCAATGGGATTTGATAGAAGTGACGACAAATCCAAGCTGGCTTCCCTTGACAATTTATTTTGGTGCGCCAGGACCATTCACAGATGAGCTCGCTCAGTTTAGCTCAACGCTGATTGGCTCATTTGTAATACTTTTTTTGCTGGCTTCCGTTGCCTTCAATGCCACGGGCGGCAACAATGTCATACTAAATTAGTTTGGACCAGACAGCATCAGATAGATGGCCTACACGTAGAGAGACAGAGGGGCACTGTTTCACTCGCTCGGATGCTTTCTGCTGTGAGATAGATTCGGCCTCTTGCGAATTGAAGGAAAATTATGAACAAAGAGAGATGAAAGATAATTTTTTTTGGGAAACCTGGCTTTCCTTGGCATCCATGAATACACACCACTCCTACCAGGAAGGGTGTGATTTGATGTATCTCCCACCAATCAGAGAAAAAAGGTTAATTTTTCTGTAACTGTCAGGCAAGAAGCCTACTGATGACATTACTGCACCAATCCATTTGTTTCAGGGCAGGGGAGGGTAACCACTCAGGACGGACTGCAAGATGACACCACTATTCATCTGTATGGTGATTCTGCATCTCACTTGTAGACTGCCTAGTCCATTTCTCCTGTGTTTCAGTAGCTATTTACGGTCACGGTTTTCTAAGCCAGAACCCAGAAGAAGACCAGGACAAGGTGAGTTGAACGAAGGTGAGTATTTATTAACAGATTCAAAAAACGATGCAGAATAATCCAGGGAACAGAGCGGGTGGCGGAGATGAGTTGGTGGAGGTGAAGTGGCAGATCCAATGATGGCTCGGCAGCCGCCGACAACCAGGCAGGGGTTGGGTGAAGGTTCCGGGAGAATGACTGTAGATAGAAACAAACGGAGGTAAGTACAAGGCAAGCCAACAAGGTGCAAAACAACAAAACTAACGCTAGTAACTCAGAGGCTGATACGCTGACAAACATACTGTTCATGGCTAACGATCCGGCAGGGAATGGATGTCAGGTCAGAGCTTATGAAGGGTGATGATCAGGACCAGGTGTGCCGATAGCTGATGAGATGCAGTTGCGGGTAATCGGGAGATCTCCCGCCTAGCAACGTCGCCCGGCAACCAGGCAGGGAGCGTTCAAGAACCTTCAGGAAACAGGAGATTCAGAGCAGAAAAACGGCAACACAGGCAGGAACCGACTCAGGACGCAGGGTTCATGACAGTACCCCCCCTCCGACGAACGCCACCGGGCGGACTACCCGGAGCGCCAGGATGGAGGCGGTAGAAGTCACGAAGGAGGTCGGCATCAAGGATCTGACGCTGAGGAATCCAACTCCTCTCTTCAGGACCATACCCCTCCCAGTCCACGAGATACTGGAAACCCCGGCCCCGCCATCTGAAATCCATAATGCGGCGCACCGTGTAGGCAGGACCACCTCCGATCATCTGAGGGGGAGGAGGAGGAGGCGGAGGGGGCAACAGAGGACTGAGGAGAACAGGCTTGAGGCAGGAGACATGAAAGGTGGGATGGACTCTGAGCGTTCTAGGTAACTTGAGTCGAACCGCAACAGGATTGATCACTCTCTCCACCACAAACGGACCAATGAACTTCGGTGACAGTTTCTTAGACTCCGTCCGCAGGGGAAGATCCCGTGTAGCCAACCAGACCCTATCTCCGATGGTATAGGTGGGGGCGGGAATCCGGCGACGATTCCCCTGGAGCTGATACCGGTCAGAAACTCTAAGGAGGGCCTTTCTGGCCCGATGCCAGGTCCGGTGGCAATGACGAATGTGGGCCTGAACAGAGGGCACTGAGAGATCCTTCTCCTGAGAAGGAAACAAGGGAGGTTGGTAGCCATACTGGCACTGGAAGGTAGACATCCCAGTGGCAGATGTAGGGAGAGTATTGTGGGCATACTCCACCCAAGGCAACTGAGAGACCCAGGAGGTGGGGTTGGAGGAGACAAGGCAGCGTAGCGTGGATTCCATCTTCTGGTTGGCTCTCTCCGCCTGACCATTAGATTGGGGGTGAAAACCATATGTTAGACTGACTGTAGCTCCAATGGTCAAACAGAAGGACTTCCAGACAGCAGAGGTAAACTGAGGACCACGGTCGGAAACTATGTCACTGGGCAACCCGTGGACCCTGAAAACCTCCCTAACCAGGATCTCGGACGTCTCAGAGGCAGAGGGAAGCTTGGAAATGGGCACAAAGTGGGCGAACTTGCTGAATCTGTCCACGATAGTCAGAATGACCGTGTTCCCCTCAGAAGAGGGCAACCCAGTGACAAAGTCCAGGGCCAGATGCGACCATGGTCGCCGGGGAATAGGGAGGGGGTGAAGAAGTCCAGAGCTGGGCCGATTGGCACTCTTATTCTGCGCACACACTGGACAGGCAGCAACAAACCTCCGAGTATCTTCTCCCATGGCAGGCCACCAAAATCGTCTGCGAAGTAACGCCATCGTCCGAGCCACGCCAGGGTGACAAGCCATCTTGCTGGCGTGGGACCATTGGAGTGTATATTTGTAAACAACAGCTGGTGCACAAAATCAAATACTAAGGAAGTCTCGAGGTTTTGCTCGCCTGAGGTAGAGTATCTTATGATAAGCTGTAGACCACACTATTTACCAAGAGAGTTTTCATCTATATTTTTCATAGCTGTCTATTTACCACCACAAACCAATGCTGGCATTAAGATTGCACTGAATGAGTTGTACAAGGCCATTAATCAACAGGAAAACGCTCATCCAGATGCAGCGCTCCTAGTGGCCGGGGACTTTAATGCAGGGAAACTTAAATCCGTTCTACCTCATTTCTACCAGCATGTTAAATGTGCAACCAGAGGGAAAAAAACTCTAGACCACCTTTACTCCACACACAGAGACGCATACAAAGCTCTCCCTCGCCCTCCATTTGGCAAATCTGACCATAACTCTATCCTCCTGATTCCTGCTTATAAGCAAAAACTAAAGCAGGAAGCACCAGTGACTCGGTTAATAAAAAAGTGGTCAGATGACGCAGATGCTAAGCTACAGGACTGTTTTGCTAGCACAGACTGGAACATGTTCCGGGATTCTTCAGACAGCATTGAGGAGTACACCACATCAGTCACTGGCTTCATCAATAAGTGCATCGATGATGTCGTCCCCACAGTGACCGTACGTACATACCCCAACCAGAAGCCATGGATTACAGGAAACATCCGCACTGAGCTAAAGGGTAGAGCTGCCGCTTTCAAGGAACGGGACTCTAACCCGGACGCTTATAAGAAATCCCGCTATGACCTCCGACGAACCATCAAACAGGCAAAGAGTCAATACAGGTCTAAGATTGAATCATACTACACTGGCTCTGACGCTCGTCGGATGTGGCAGGGCTTGAAAACTATTACAGACTACAAAGGGAAGCACAGCCGCGAGCTGCCCAGTGACACAAGCCTACCAGACGAGCTAAACCACTTCTATGCTCGCTTCGAGGCAAGCAACACTGAAGCATGCATGAGAGCACCAGCTGTTCCGGATGACTATGTGATCACGCTCTCCGTAGCCGATGTGAGTAAGACTTTTGAGCA